GGCGGTGGCTAGGAGATGTTAACTACCTCGCCTGGTATACCGGAGGTCGTGGGTTTCAATCCCCACCCTGATGCCCGCTGCTGCTGTATATTTGGAGTTTGCGTGTCTCTCTTTCTCCCCATGAGCCCGTGGATTTTTCGCCCGGGTCCTCCTCCGGTTTGCCTCGCAACATTTAGAATCAAAGCGACGCCTTTAGAGTTTTCGGCCGCTATAATTTTCCGAATGAGCCACTTGGTTGAGCTACCATTCGTGGTTGCCAGGTCGCTTCTGAAAAAGAGGTGTCAAGCTCAGTGGGGCATTAAAAGTGTCTCGTTACGAATCCTGAGCGGGCTCGAGCAAGACGCAGCTAGAAGGGATGCACTATGTGCTATGAATGTTCAACTTATTTAACACCATACTCTTTGGTTCTTTCGGTAAAGTCATGTAGGTATTTTATACCAGTCGCGAAAGCTTCAATTCAAGATTATTTAACACCGTACGCACGTAGCCAGCCGTGGTAATCGGGGTACAGTGTTAGTCTATGGGTAGTGTTGAGTCTATGGGCAGTGTCGAGTGTATGGGTAGTGTTGAGTCTATGGGTAGTGTTGAGTCTATGGGCAGTTTCGATTTAAAGCTTTCGTGACTGCAATGATTCATCTTCTTTGGTTCTTTCGGTAAAGTCACGTAGAATGATAATAAAATAATAAATTGATAAAATAAAATAACACAATAATATTCTCACGACGTTTCGGCCACAACACAAGCGGCCTTCATTCACCGAGGCCCTTAGTACAAATCAACGACTTATTGTTGGTAGCTTAGCTGATTGGAGAATATAGAGTTATTGATAACATGAAGGTAATTTATATTTTAGTTTTTATTGGTTCACTATATAGTACTGTGAATAGCTCAGATGTGTAGTCATTTCTGTGACCAGTCACTAGCTAATCACTCAGTTGTTTCAATGCTGGATTCGCCTAGTTATTTCAATGCTAAATTCTCCTGTTTGATTTGTACTAAGGGCCTCGGTGAATGTGTATGCTCTGACTTTAACGTAGCTATTTCTGCAGCAGGTACAAGCTCTATTTCTGCAGCAGGTACAAGCTAATCACTCAGCTATCTCAATGCTAAATTCTATGCTAATTCCATTGTCAAGGGGTGCCTCTGCGGATGTGTATGCCTTAACTTAGCTATTTCAATGCTAAATTCTATGCTAATTCCTTTAACAATGGGTGCCTCTGCGGGTGTGTATGCTTTAACTTTTAACATAGCTATTTCTGTGACCAGTCACAAGCTAATCATTCAGCCATTTCAATGCTAAATTATATGCTAATTCCTTTGTCAAGGCGCTTTGTTCCTCTCACACAGCTTAAAGGCCGTATCTGAACGTGGCTCTTTCACTCCAGCGCTGTCCTACCAGACAGTCTCGCCCCCTTCACCTGATGAAGGCCGCTTGTGTTGTGGCCGAAACGTCGTGAGAATATTATTGTGTTATTTTATTTTATCAATTTATTATTTTATTATCATTCTATGGGCAGTGTTGAGTCTATGGGTAGTGTTGAGTCTATGCGCAGTGTTGAGTCTATGGGCAGTGTTGAGTCTATGCGGAGTGTTGAGTCTATGGGCAGTGGTGAGTCTATGGGCACTGTTGAGTCTATGGGTAGTGTTGAGTGTTTGATCAATGTTGAGTCTATGGGTAGTGTTGAGTCTATGGGCAGTGTTAGTCTATGGGCAGTGTTAGTCTATGGTCAGTGTTGAGTCTATGGGCAGTGTTGAGTCTATGGGCAGTGTTGAGTCTATGGGCAGTGTTGAGTCTATGGGCAGTGTTGAGTCTATGGTGCAGTGTTGATTCTATGGTGCAGTGTTGAGTCTATGGGCAGTGTTGAGTCTATGGGCAGTGTTGAGTCTATGGGCAGTGGTGAGTCTATGGGTAGTGTTGATTGAGTCTTTGAGCAATGTTGAGTCTATGGGCAGTGTTGAGTCTACGGGCAGTGTTAGTCTATGGGCAGTGTTAGTCTATGGGCAGTGGTGAGTCTATGGGCAGTGTTGAGTCTATGGGCAGTGTTGAGTCTATGGTGCAGTGTTGAGTCTATGGTGCAGTGTTGAGTCTATGGGCAGTGTTGAGTCTATGGGCAGTGTTGAGTCTATGGGCAGTGGTGAGTCTATGGGCAGTGTTGAGTCTATGGGCAGTGGTGAGTCTATGGGCACTGTTGAGTCTATGGGTAGTGTTGAGTGTTTGATCAATGTTGAGTCTATGGGTAGTGTTGAGTCTATGGGCAGTGTTAGTCTATGGGCAGTGTTAGTCTATGGTCAGTGTTGAGTCTATGGGCAGTGTTGAGTCTATGGGCAGTGTTGAGTCTATGGGCAGTGTTGAGTCTATGGGCAGTGTTGAGTCTATGGGCAGTGGTGAGTCTATGGGTAGTGTTGAGTCTTTGAGCAATGTTGAGTCTATGGGCAGTGTTGAGTCTACGGGCAGTGTTAGTCTATGGGCAGTGTTAGTCTATGGGCAGTGGTGAGTCTATGGGCAGTGTTGAGTCTATGGGCAGTGTTGAGTCTATGGTGCAGTGTTGAGTCTATGGTGCAGTGTTGAGTCTATGGGCAGTGTTGAGTCTATGGGCAGTGTTGAGTCTATGGGCAGTGGTGAGTCTATGGGCAGTGTTGAGTCTATGGGCAGTGTTGAGTCTATGGGCAGTGTTGAGTCTATGGGCAGTTGTTGAGTCTATGGGCAGTGTTAGTCTATGGGCAGTGTTGAGTCTATGGGCAGTGTTAGTCTATGGGCAGTGTTAGCCTATGGGCAGTGTTGAGTCTATGGGCAGTGTTGAGTCTATGGGCAGTGTTGAGTCTATGGGCAGTGTTAGTCTATGGGCAATGTTGAGTCTACGGGCAGTGTTAGTCTATGGGCAGTGTTGAGTCTATGGGTAGTGTTGAGTCTATGGGCAGTGTTGAGTCTATGGGCAGTGTTGAGTCTATGGGCAGTGTTGAGTCTATGGGCAGTGTTGAGTCTATGGGCAGTGTTGAGTCTATGGGCAGTGTTAGTCTATGGGCAGTGTTGAGTCTATGGGCAGTGTTAGTCTATGGGCAGTGTTAGTCTATGGGCAGTGTTGAGTCTATGGGCAGTGTTGAGTCTATGGGCAGTGTTGAGTCTATGGGCAGTGTTAGTCTATGGGCAGTGTTGAGTCTATGGGCAGTGTTAGTCTATGGGCAGTGTTAGTCTATAGGCAGTGTTGAGTCTATGGGCAGTGTTGAGTCTATGGGCAGTGTTGAGTCTATGGGCAGTGTTGAGTCTATGGGTAGTGTTGAGTCTATGGGCAGTGTTGAGTCTATGGGCAGTGTTAGTCTATGGGCAGTGTTGAGTCTATGGGCAGTGTTAGTCCATGGGCAGTGTTGAGTCTATGGGCAGTGTTGAGTCTATGGGCAATGTTAGTCTATGGGCAGTACTTATGTATGTTGAACTTCCTTCGCACCGTACGTTGTCAGCCGTGCTAATCGGAGGCTGACGTTGGCCGATGGTCCAGGCCTGCGACGGAACGGCAGCCAAAGAAGGATGGGAAAACATTTACCTCGACGGGCGAATGGCGCGGAGGTGGAGCTGAATTGCTGGAGATCGTGCCATCGCAGGATAAAATACAAAAAATAAAATATATATACATAAAGTAAAATGAAAAAAATAAAAATTGTATTTCAGCTGCTCTTTTTCACAAGCGACCTGGATATCACAAATGATAGCTCAATTGAAGTGGCTTCTCACGTTGCAAAATGGTCATTATCGCTTACGGCTCACTCAGAGGTCTGTGGAGGCCCTCATACAGCAGTGGATTGACAACAGGGTGAACAAAGACAATGACAAAGATCCCCCGTATAGCCTGAATAGGCTGTTGGGGCAAGTGCTGTTAGCGAGTAGCACCTATGAGGGCCGCCACGACACACAAGGGGGGTGGGTGGCCAGCACCACGCCCCGGCCGCCTTTGTCTCCCCAGTGGTGATGTCTACACACCACACGAGGTACTAATAGGAGGCTGAGTCGACCTAGGTGGAGGCCCATGACCGGTTCAGATAATCGTCACTGGTGTTGGCCTTGAGCGGGAATCGAACTCGCGTCGCCGGGTTTGTAGCGCAGCGCAGCTAACCGCTACACTCGACCAACGCACACGCGCCTACAACTGTTCCATTGCCATGTTTGTAATATATATTTTTTAAATGTCAATAACATCTCAGCCCATACGCCTATAGAGCCTTCTGAACCAATCTCTCTGCCAGCAGAGAGATTGTTTAAACAGCAACAGCATCAACAGCAGCAGCAGCAACAGCAACCCTCCTTCCGTTTCCACTCCACCGAGACTCATCGGCAGGGCCGAGTCGAGCGAACGAACGCCCCCTGCCCTCGTCCTGCTAGCTGTACTCCCACCACCACCTCTGTAAGCAGCCAATTCAGTCACCTACAGCGACTACAGGTGGTCTCTCGGTGCAGCGCAGGGACACTGCTGAGTTGCGTGGACTGCCGGGGGATGATGGTGATGATGGTGATTATCTGCGCTTGGTTCAAATGTACCCAACCACGCTTGACCCCTGTCAACGATGACCCCTCCCAACCCCCCTCCCCTCGTCCCCCCCACCACCTGCCCCCCGTCCGCCCCACCAGACCGGCTTGACTAGGGGCGGCTTGCTGCCAAGGTCGAGTTGGTATGGCCCGTGGCCTCATATAGAAGGGGGGAGCCGGTGTCTTTGCTATTGAGCATTCACAGAAGAGAGATACCGGTGCAGACAGAGACACGCAGAACGACAGAGGCTTGCCTCGTGGGTTTATATATCAGACGCATAGACTCACATATATAGATTTATACATAGATTCACATATATAGATTCATACATAGACTCACATATATAGACTCACACATAGACTCACATATATAGACTCACACATAGACTAACACATAGACTCACACATAGACACACATATATAGACTCACGCATAGACACATATAGATTCACACGTAGATAGACTCACACGTAGATAGACTCACACTTAGACTCACATATATAGACTCACACGTAGACTCACACATAGACTCACATATATAGACTCGCACATAGACTCACATATATAGACTCACACATAGACTCACATATATAGACTCACACGTAGATAGACTCACACATAGACACGCAGATTTTGACTCACCAGACATACGGTATCGAGACTTACCCATATACAGATGTGTACATACATAACTACGCTCACGCATAGGTACGCCTACACTGTGTACACAGACTCACACGTAGACAACACACGGGTATGTACACGTGACGTTTTAGACACAAAGACACACACGTAGACATAAAGGCACGCACCCAAAACGCATAGGTCCACCTCTACAAAGGCTATCCTCATAGCCTCCTCCCCCCCATAGACACACACACGCATAGGTGCGTACACACACACACACATGTGGACACACTCTCGCAGTGTACAAGGGACACACAAACTCACCTGTTGACACGACACCATGGAGGCTGTTTGCAGTGACAGGTAAGCGAGGCGGGGGAGGTTTTTTGCGTGTGTGTGTGTCTTTCATTCTTTCTTGGAACGCGCTCGCCCACCCTCCGCTGGCATCCACGTCACGCAGTGCGCCGTGACACGCTCGTTTGGTCTATCTACTGCTGGATGAGGGCCTACCCCACGCGGTTGGTCAGTGTGCGCGCGTCTCGCACACCTCCTGTGCATGCCACAGTGCCGGCATTCATCGTTGCTTGTACTCGCAAATAGCACTTGCCCCCAACAGCCTGTTAAGGCTATACGGGGGGAGTCGCGTAGGTATAACAATAATAATAGACGTTTCGGGCGCAACACAAGCGTCCGCCATCCGGGTGGGACAACCACAGCAGGAAACAATTTGCCGAAGTGGGCAAATTGCTGAAGTGAACACATTTTTTTCTTGCTGTGGTTGCCCCACCTGATGACGGACGCTTGTGTTGCGCCCGAAACGTCACGTGATTAAAATAAGAAAGAAAGAACCAAAGAGTATGGATCCCTGCAGTCACGAAAACTTCAAATCAAGATTAGACGGGGAAGCTTTGTTTTTGTTGTTGTTGTTGTTGGGGTGGTGGTGGTGGTGGTTATTTGACGGAATGAACAACCGGGTCGAGTTGAGTGGAGTGAGTTTCGGGGACTTGGTTAAAGAACCGGTTCTGGATCTCAGTCGCCACTGACGTTAGCCGTGTCCCGGACTCAACCGGTATGCGAATCCGTGGTATTTAAACGGTGTAGATAAAATGCGGCCCATTGCCAACAGCATACCGTGTCAACCCATGCGGCTTAGCCCGTATTTTTGTACAGAGAAATTGAGTTTTCAGATCCAGACGGCGTACAGCCGATTGAATACGTGGCAAAACAACTTGCGTCTATTTTTTGTGTTTATGCCTTGTGATGGGACCTTTGTAGGATTAACTTTGAGATTTATAAGGGGCACGGGGTCTGACAGGTATAGCAACGTGTCATAAGTCTCACACACACACACTCTCACACTGCTCGGGAGAATTGGACATTCGACAGTGGCCGGAGTTGAACTCAGCCCGTGGCCGCTACGGCTGTGAGCTTGCAGGTAGCCAGACATCCAGACAACACGTGGGCAGCTACAGGGATCGGAAACCTGCGGATCCGGAGCCGCATGCGGTGACTCTTTGGGTGCCCCTCGTGACTCTTTGGCTGCCCCCTTGTGACTCTTTGGCTGCCCCCTTGTGACTCTTTGGCTGCCCCCTTGTGACTCTTTGGCTGCCCCCTTGCGGCTCTTTGGCTGCCCCCTTGTGACTCTTTGGCTGCCCCCTTGAGGCTCTTTGACTGCCCCCTTGTGACTCTTTGGCTGCCACTTGAGGCTCTTTGACTGCCCCCTTGTGACTCTTTGGCTGCCCCCTCGTGACTCTTTGGCTGCCTCCTCGTGACTCTTTGGCTGCCCCCTCGTGACTCTTTGGCTGCCCCCTTGCGACTCTTTGGCTGCCCCCTCGTGACTCTTTGGCTGCCCCCTCGTGACTCTTTGACTGCCCCCTCGTGACTCTTTGGCTGCCCCCTCGTGACTCTTTGGCTGCCCCCTCGTGACTCTTTGACTGCCCCCTCGTGACTCTTTGGCTGCCTCCTCGTGACTCTTTGGCTGCCCCCTCGTGACTCTTTGGCTGCCCCCTTGCGACTCTTTGGCTGCCCCCTTGTGACTCTTTGGCTGCCCCCTCGTGACTCTTTGGCTGCCCCCTTGTGACTCTTTGGCTGCCCCCTTGCGACTCTTTGGCTGCCCCCTCGTGACTCTTTGGCTGCCCCCGTGCGGCTCTTTGACTGTCCCCTTGTGACTCTTTGGCTGCCCCCTCGTGACTCTTTGGCTGCCCCCTCGTGACTCTTTGGCTGCCCCCTCGTGACTCTTTGGCTGCCCCCTTGCGGCTCTTTGACTGCCCCCTTGAGGCTTTTTGGCTGCCCCCTTGCGGCTCTTTGACTGCCCCCTTGCGGCTCTTTGACTGCCCCCTTGTGACTCTTTGGCTGCCCCCTTGTGACTCTTTGGCTGCCCCCTTGTGACTCTTTGGCTGCCCCCTCGTGACTCTTTGGCTGCCCCCTCGTGACTCTTTGGCTGCCCCCTCGTGACTCTTTGGCTGCCCCCTCGTGACTCTTTGGCTGCCCCCTCGTGACTCTTTGGCTGCCCCCTCGTGACTCTTTGGCTGCCCCCTTGCGGCTCTTTGACTGCCCCCTTGAGGCTCTTTGGCTGCCCCCTTGCGGCTCTTTGACTGCCCCCTTGCGGCTCTTTGACTGCCCCCTTGTGACTCTTTGGCTGCCCCCTTGTGACTCTGTGGCTGCCCCCTCGTGACTCTTTGGCTGCCCCCTCGTGACTCTTTGGCTGCCCCCTTGTGACTCTTTGACTGCCGCCTTGAGGCTCTTTGGCTGCCCCCTTGCGACTCTTTGGCTGCCCCCCCCCCTTGTGACTCTTTGGCTGCCCTCTCTGCGGAGCAAAGATAATAGGCAATTGATGAAATATGACATGGAACGGGGGTCACTATGGAATGCCTTGATTAAAACAGAATGTACAACACTCAAACTGTCTTGTTAAATAAGGGGGGGGGGGGACTAAATAGACGCATAATAAAGTTTTTTTTGGGTTAGATCGCGTAAGCATAAATGTGTCGTAACCCTCCACCACCCGACACGGCGAGTACGGTTTGTCACGTAAACAACGCGCCAATTAGTTACTGCTTCAGCCCACCGGTGTATTGGGGAGTAAATCCACAACATTCATCAATTTTATCCAGTCTTTGATTTACTCTCCACGTCACATTTCTCACCCCCCCCCCCCCCCACCGCTCGTCACACATCGTCACAAATGTCTGACCCCCCCCCCCTACCTAGGTGCGTGACGTCATTTATGGACGGCCCCTAAAGTCAGAATGTTTGTCGTTGTCACCTGCTGTTTACCCGCCGTGCCTGTGTTTGTGTGTACAGGTAGCAGCTGCTGTGTGCGATGCAACTATTTTGGTCACAGACAAAAACAAACTAAACTAAAATGTCTTCTTCTTTTGAAAGGTTACCGACCTACCCCCCCCCCCCCCCGATATACAGAACTTTAAAGTGAATGCGTGACACAGACACGCGGCGTGACACAGACACGCGGCGTGACACAGACACGCGGCGTGACACTTTGGCATGCGGCGTGACACAGACACGCGGCGTGACACAGACACGCGGCGTGACACAGACACGCGGCGTGACTCTTTGGCACGCGGCGTGTCACAGACACGCGGCGTGACACAGACACGCGGCGTGACACAGACACGCGGCGTGACTCTTTGGCACGCAGCGTGACACAGACACGCGGCGTGACACTTTGGCACGCGGCGTGACACAGACACGCGGCGTGACACAGACACGCGGCGTGACACAGACACGCGGCGTGACACAGACACGCGGCGTGACACAGACACGCGGCGTGACACAGACACGCGGCGTGACACTTTGGCACGCGGCGTGACACTTTGGCACGCGGCGTGACACTTTGGCACGCGGCGTGACACTTTGGCACGCGGCGTGACACTTTGGCACGCGGCGTGACACAGACACGCGGCGTGACACAGACACGCGGCGTGACACAGACACGCTGTGTATCAGCCGGTACCGGTGAAGTGGCCGTGCCCATCACTCTTGTTTCGTCGTTAATATTCCGCACCGCCGATTAGGGGCCGCCCATAAATGACGTCACGCGATTTTGGACGATTTTTTACCCCCCCGCCCTCCTCGTCACACGGCGTCACAAAAATTCAGACCCCCCCCCCCCTCAAATATGACGTCACAAAGCTCTGCCCCCCCCAAAAAAAATATTTCCATTTTGAAAATAAAATATGCTTCAAATCGCTTTAAACTATTGTCATTGAAGTGCGTATTTAATGTGGCGCTGCGCTCTGATGTTGTATAGGAGTGTTGTTATAACAATTAGTGTTGTCACAACAATTCTATATTTATATTCTTAGCTCTTTCGATAAAGTCTCGTTGAAGGGAAACAATAAAATAATAAAATATATATAAAACAATAAAAATTCTCACGACGTTTCGGCCATAACACAAACGGTCGTCATCAGGTGAAGAATATGAATTACTGCAGTCACGAAAGCTTAAAATCAAAATTCTATATTTATTTAAAGTTGCGCATTTTGATGTGACGTCACATTTATCACCCCCCCCCCCCCTCGTCACACATCGTCAAAAATGTCTGACCACCCCCCCCCCCCCCCGCTAGGTGCGTGACGTCATTTATGGACGGCCCCTTAGCGCGGGTCAGCCACGTACGGTGCGAAAGAAGTTCAGCGTAACGCGTTCCATGAAATGGGGGGGAGGGGTGGCGGCGCAGAGCAGTGACGCAATTATCGCGTTTAACGCCATGGAACTCGCTTAATCCGAGTTACATTCACGTACCACAGCCATCATCAGCGGCGGGGAATATCCGGACTGGTGCCGGGCACTGCCGCCCCCTCTTCATTAACCCCCATTGACCGGCGTGGTGAAGTATGGTCAAACCACCCCACGTGACTGGCAGGGCGAAGGGAGGCCCTGACCGAAAATCGGAATAATCCGATGAGCTATAAAGCTCTTTGTCACAGATGTCCCAGTCGTGCACAGCTGTCCGGCAGAGTAAAGTGACGCCAGGACTTCACAAGTATAGAGAGTTTGTGTTGTTTAACAAACTTTCGTCTCTCCTCCCATCTCTCCCTACCTCTCCCTTCTTATCTCCCCCCCCACCTCCTCCTCTTTCTCTTTTCTTTCTTCTCGCCATTCACCTCGCTATCTCTCAATCTCTGTCCCTCTCTCCGGCTTATCTTGTCTCTGTCACTGATCCTTTTATTATCTCTCTCCTCTCCCTCCCCTATATGTCTCTCCCGCTATCGCACTCTCTACCTCTCTTCCTGTCGCTCAACGTGTCTCTCCCTCTCCTTGCTTCTTCCTCATTCGCCTCCCTCCCTCCATCTCTCTCTCGCTCCCTTCTTATTCCATATCTCTGCCCATCTCCCCGCTCCTCCCCATCCCTATCTGCCCATCTCTCCCCATCCCTCTCTGCCCATCTACCCACTCCTCACCACGCCAATCTCTCTCCACCATCTCCCCTGTTTTTCACTACACCTCCCATCCCCGTCGATCTCCCTGTAACCCCGCACCCCCCCCAATAAAAAAAAACAGCTTCCGACCTCAGCAACCGCGACTTTGCGGTGCTGCTGCTGCTGATGCCCTCCAATCACCACCACCAGCAGCAGCACCACCACAACCACCAGCAACAACAGCAGCACCGCCGCAGTCGCCGCCGCAGCCGCAGCAATCCGGCAACGCGGAGCTCCACCCGGTGCAGCCCGAGGATGTCTACCACCGCTCGCTGTCGCAGCAGCGGCCGCCGCTGGCCCCGCACGTGCTCGCGTACGTGCTCAAGTGCGCTCGCCTCTGCCGGCCCGACGCGGTGCGCGTGTGCCACGGAGGCGCCGGGGAGCAGCGGCGCGTGCTCGAGGCCATGGCGAGCGCCGGCCTCGTGACCCGCCTGGGCAAATACGACAACTGGTACGAAGGAGCGCGTCGCGATGGGCCTCTCTCCATCGTCGTCGTCATCATCGTCGTCGTCATCGTCGTCGTCATCGTCGTCATCATCGTCGTCATCAACGTCATCATCATTGTCGTCATCATCATTGTCATCGTCGTTGCGTGAATGCAGTTGCTTGACTCGCTCGTGTTTGGGGGTGAGTGGAGGGGGGGGCAGGAGGGTGACACAGCTGTCAACCCCTTCTCAGTGCCCCACCTTGTTACTGAGCAATTCCGACCTCATTGGTCACCCCGTGCCCCTTTATAAATATCAACGTTCATTCGGCAAAGTCCCATCACAAGGGAGAAACATAAACGGCTGTACGCCGTATGGACCTGAAAACTCAATGTCCCTGTACAAGAATACGGTAAGCCGTATGGCCTGACAGGTACGCGTTCCCGAAAGGTATGCACGTATGCCGAACTTGATTTCGCACCGTACGTAGCCAACCGTGCTAATCGGAGGTGCTGTTACCGCCGCCGCTGCTGCTCAACGAAAAAAATCTTCACACATTCGCACCAGCGCCGACGTTAAATATCCCCCCAACTCACCCATTGTTCACTCCGCCCACGAACCCAGCTGCTGCGGCTGTTATTGTTGTTGTTGATCAATACGGGTTGTGTGAGATGGCACACGCGCACAGAAACTATTTTTGTTTTTATTTTACCATGTAAGGCCCCCACTGAGCTATTGAGCCCTTCGTCAGAAGCGATCTGGCCACAAATGATAGCTCAACGAAGTGGCCTCATCATCACTTAGAGTACGTAGAGCAGCAGAATACTCTGAACGCGTGATGTTGATTCGAAATGTGTAGGGCCTGGAGAAAAATCCACGCCACCAGAGAGAGAGACACACGCACTCCAAATATACAGCAGGCTTCAGGGTCGAGAGTGAACCCACGACCTCCTGTATACCAGACGAGGTAGTCAACATCTCCTAGCCACCGTGACGTGGTGCTGGCCACCCACCCACTCGCGTCGCCGTTGCCGGCCATTCATCGGTGCTCCTCCCTAACAGCAACTTACCCCAACAGTCCGTTAAGGCTAAGCGGCGGGGAGGTTGGGGGAATATCTTTGTTTCTCTCTCTCTCTCTCTCCGTGCCCTCTCCGCAGCTGGCTGGCTCGCACGGACCCGCGCGACGTGGCGCGCGTAGAGAGTCGCACGGTGCTCGTGACGGCAAACCAGCGCGATGCCGTGCCCCTGCCACGCCACGGCCGCCCGTCCCAGCTGGGCCGCTGGATGTCCGAGGCCGACTTCGACAGGGCCCAGCGCGAACGCTTCCCCGGCTGCATGAGAGGTGAGAGGACGCCCGCCGGGGGCGGTCTGCCGCAGTGGCGAGATGTTAACTACCTCGCCTGGTATGCAGGAGGTCGCGGGTTTCCATCCCGACTCTTAAACGCCTGTTGTATATTTGAAGTTTGCGTGTGTCTCTCTCTCCCCGTGGTCGCGTGGAGTTTTCTCCAGGTCCTCCAATTCCTCCCCCCCCCCCCCCCCCCCACATTGAGAATCAACGTCACGCGTTTAGATTATTTGTCCGCGATAAATTTACCCAGGATGATGAGCCCTCATTGTTGATCTATCACGCGTGGTCAGGTCGCGTCTGAAAAAGAGCTATGGATAGCTCAGTGGGGGGCCTGGCCTTGTAAAATAAAAACGAAATGTTTTAAATCACTGAGATGGGATTGCGTACAGCAGCAGCGGCAACATCGCCACTTGCCGTGAGAAACTTGGCAGGACCCTCCTGGAAAAGAGACCGTGAGACTCGGCGAGGCTTTACTGGGTAAATTAAACAATACAAATATTTTTTAATCATTTTACCAACTAAGGCCCCGTTGAGCTACGTGGCTTTTTTTAAGAAGTGACCTGGCCACAAATTATATCTCAACGAAGCGGCTCATCGTGTGGACATTTATAGCAGCCAAATTCTCTAAAAGCACATATATTTTAGATGTGGAGAAACAAACCGGAGGACCCGGAGAAAAATCCACGCGGCCACGAGGAGAGAGAGAGACACGCAAACTCCAAATATACAACAGGCGTCAGGGTCGGGTTCGAACCCACGACCTGCTGCATACCAAGCGAGGTAGTTAACATCTCGCCATGGGGAGAGAGACACGCAAACTCCGAATATACAACAGGCGTCAGTGTCAGGATCGAACCGACGACCGGCTGCATACCAGGCGAGGTAGTTAACATCTCATAGCCACCGTGGCACAGTGAGACAGGGACGGACAGAGAGACGCACAGAACGAGCGGAATGCTACGCCTGTAACAATGGAGAATGTGGACGACAAGGCACGCTGTTTGGTGTCACGTGCAGTGACCTCGGATGTGGCAGAGGAGAAGAGGTCAAGTTGGGTTGGGTGACTCTCAGGGGGTCAGAGAACCGGGTGAGCTCCCAGTGAGAGAAGTCTATGGTGTCAGCCTGGTCACTGATGACTCGCGGAGAGAGCCAATCACTTACACTGGAGAGTGGGTGAGTGAGCGGGTAGATAGATGAGTGAGTGCGTGGGTGAGTGGGTGGGTGGATGAGTGAGTGAATAAGTGAGTGAGTTAGTGGGTCGGTGAGTGGGTGGGTGAGCAGGTGGATGACTTGAGTCTGTTAGTGAGTGGGTGGGAGACTTACTGATTGGGTGCGTGAGTGGGTGAGTGGATGACTGAGTGAGTGAGCGAGCGGGTGGGTGGGCGTGAGTGCTTGAGTGAGCACGCGTGTAAAAGCACGAGTGTGGTGGTATGCCACCAACTCTCGCAGCAAAGCAAATTGCATGGCTGCACCACCTGGACCCCCAACGTCTCACAATCATCGTCTCGACTGGCCGTACAAAAAACACCCGCGACCATCGCCGCCATCGCCGCGGACGATTCGCGACAGCCAGTCCGGCAACTCTGAACCCTCCCGACGTCTCCCCCCCTCCCACAACCGCCAGGCCGCACCATGTACGTGATGGCGTTCAGCATGGGCCCGCCGGAGTCGCCGCTGGCGCGGCTCGGCGTGCAGGTGACCGACTCGCCCTACGTAGTGGCCAGCATGAGCATCATGACGCGCATGGGCGCCGCCATCACGGAGGTGCTGGGCGACGGCCGCGACTTCGTGCGGTGCCTCCACTCCGTGGGGGTGCCCCTCACCAGCTCCGGTAAGCGCGCGCGCACGCGCGAGCGGGTATACACGCGCGGGTACGCACGGGCACACGGGTACATGCAGACACACACGGGCACATGGGCACGCGGGCACACACTGACACACACGGCCACGCGGGTACACATGGGTACGTACACAATGTACAGTTGTGTCTAAATAACAATGTCTCTAACCAATGTGTATTGCCTCCTGTGACGTATAGGATCATAGCTGAATACATACAGACGCTCTCATCCAAACTCATCCTCACGTCTCTCTCCCCATGTGTCCCTCCCCACGTGTCTATCCCCACGTGTCGTTCTGTCTATTCTCTCTCTGCGAGCATTACCCCGTCTGTATCCCATGTCTCCCCAATGTCTTACCCCATGGCTTTCCTCACGTGTCTCTCCCCTTGTTTCTCTTCCCACGTGTCTCTCCCCCCGTGTCTCTCCCCCCGTGTCTCTCCCCCCACGTCTCCCCCCATGTCTTCACCCCGTGGCTCTCCCCCCATGTCTCCCCCCGTGTCTCTCCCCCCATGTCTCCCCCCATGTCTCTTCCCCCATGTCTCCCCCCATGTCTTCTCCCCGTGTCTCTCCCCACATGTCTCCCCCCATGTCTCCCCCCGTGTCTCTCCCCCCATGTCTCCCCCCATGTCTTCTCCCCGTGTCTCTCCCCACAATCCCCTCCCTGCCGCGACCCAGCCTCCCCTGGCCCCGCGTGGCCGTGCAACCCAGAGAAGACGCTGATCGCTCACCTCCCGGCGCGCCGGGAGATCATGTCGTTCGGCAGCGGCTACGGAGGCAACTCCCTCCTGGGCAAGAAGTGCTTCGCCCTGCGCATCGCGTCCAGCCTCGCGCGTGACGAGGGCTGGCTGGCCGAGCACATGCTGGTGAGTACCCCACCCGGCGAAGCGCTCCCCCCACCGTCCCCCCTCGCCCGCCATACCGAGCCGGGTCAGGTCCGATGATGAAGATCGGATTGAGAATATTTACACTGGAGAGGAATCCGATGAGCTGATGAAGCTCCATTTCACAGATGTCCCAGTTGAACAAACAAAAGAGGCGGTGGTGGCATCGCCACGTGCGCCTGTGCCAGGCTGGGTGCACTTTGAAACCACGTGTAGTGTCGAAGGATTGCTGCTGGCAGGAGGTCAGGGGGCAGACCCAGGTGCCCGTGGGTTGACTGACTGAGACGACTACCGGCAGATGCGGCACCTATGCTCCCCACTGTGCCAACTCGCCGCGTTTTATCCGCCCCGGCGCTCCGCTCGTTGTTGCGAGCGTCGCTCCTCCGCCATCCGCTGTTGTTGTTGAGGGCGACTGCCTCCAACTGCCCAGTGGCAGCAGCAGCAGCAGCGTCCTCCACCAGCCTCCACCATAGAGGCCGATCTCGACACCGCTGGCACCGGCCATCGGCAAGTCAACTAACGGGAGCACAGCGTGCGGTCGCTATGAACGCGCGTTGTGTCTGGGGGACGGCCCAGCGTGGGTTGGAACAGGCTGGCGGCAAGCGACGGATGAATTTGGCACGCACGCACGCACGCGGACACACGCCCTCGTCTTCCCCGTCAGATCCTGGGCCTCACGAGCCCCGAGGGGCGCAAGAAGTACATCGCGGCGGCCTTCCCCAGCGCGTGCGGCAAGACCAACCTGGCCATGATGACGCCGTCGCTGCCCGGCTGGAAGGTGGAGTGCGTCGGGGACGACATCGCCTGGATGAAGTTCGACAGCGAAGGTGGGGGAAGGGGGTGGTGGGTGGGTGGGGGAGGGAGGGAGGAGAGGGAAGGAGAGGGGGAGGGAGGGAGGGGATGGGGGAGAGGGGGAGGGAGAAGAGGGAAGGAGAGGGGGAGGGAGGAGATGGGGGTGATGGAGGGAGAAGAGGGAGGAGAGGGAGGGAGGAATAGGATTCCAGAAAAGATCAATACGAGACAGATTCAGACGAGGCTGTAGATACTAAACTACTTTTTTTATTTTACCAGGTGAGGCCCCACTGAGCCACGCAGCTCTTTTGCAGAAGCGACCTGGCCACAAATGATGGCTCAACAAAGTGGGGTTATCATCATCGCGTGGAAATGTATAGCAGCAGCCAAATACTCTAAAGGCACGTTGTTGATTCTAAATGCGGAGCGCAAAACCGGAGGGAGACACGCAGACTCCAAATATACAGCAGCAGGCGTCAGGGTCGGGATCGAACCCACGACCTCCTGCATACCAGGCGAGGTAGTTAACATCTCCTAGCCACCCTGATGATGATGATGAGAGACACCGCAAACTGCAGGTGTCAGGGTCGGGATCGAACCCACGACCTCCTGCATACCAGGCGAGGTAGTTAACATCTCCGCGCGTTAACGTGCCGCCTATCCCGTTTATTGGGGGGCCATAATCGCGAAAACGACAGCGCTCGGATATTTTGCCGCCGCAGAGCGCGGCATTGGCTACATCTTCTGACGGTAAACCCCCCCCCCCAACCCCCCCCCCCCCCCGTTGCCTCCTCCCCGCAGGTCGCCTGCGCGCCATCAACCCCGAGAACGGCTTCTTCGGGGTGGCGCCCGGCACGTCGGTTCGCACCAACCCCATCGCCATGCGCACCATCCACTCGAACACGGTGTTCACCAACGTGGGCGAGACGCAGGAGGGCGGCGTCTACTGGGAGGGCATCGACGAGGAGCTGCCGCCCGGCGCCACGCTCACCTCGTGGCGCAACCAGACGTGGCGGCCTGGTGAGCACGGCGCGGGGGGGGGGGGGCAGAGGGGGGGTGGTGAGGGGGGGGGGTGATGAAGGCAGAGGGGGGGTGGTGAGCACGGAGCGGGGGGGGGGGAGAGGGGGGGCATGTGGGAGAGTGGGGCCCGTGGGGGGGAGAGGGAGCTCAAGGGGAGGCAGGGGGTGCATGCACGGGGGGGGGGGGGACACAGGGGGGGAAAGGGGGGGGGCATGCATGGGAAGGAGAGAAGGGGCACGCAGTGGTGGGGGGAGATGGGGGGACACGCGGGGGGGGGGGGAGAGAGGGGGCACGGGGGGTGGGTGGGGATGTGCAGGGGGGTGAATGGAGACGCGGGGCTCGGAATGACAAGACGAGGCAGAAGGCCGGGGTGGCGGTACACGGTGTGGGGGGGGGGGTCTCGTAGTAACGAGTTGGGGGGCCGCAAAGGGACTCGAGAGGGAGGAGGGGGGACTCACGGCGCCAACGTGGGGACCCCCCCCCCATCTCTTACCCCCTACCCCAACCACCCCACAGGTGACAAGGAGCCGTGCGCGCATCCCAACTCGCGTTTCTGCACGCCGGCCTGCCAGTGCCCCACTCAGGACCCCGCCTGGGAGGCCCCCGAGGGCGTCCCCATCGACGCCATCATCTTTGGCGGGCGTAGGCCAGCCGGTAGGAGCGCGCGCCGCGTGAGGGGTGTCGATACGGGATGCGTCGCGAGCGTTTTGCAGCCAACCTCACGATTCGTTGATTTGTAAAAAAAAAAAATAGGCGGACAGATTGTGTAAATGAAATGTGTGAATTCTGACTTCCTGGATTGTTATTCTGGCTTCCTGGATCAAAAGTATAACTTCCTGAATTGTTATTCTGGGTTCCTGGATCATAATTATGGCTTCCTGGATCAGAATTATGAATTCCTGGATTGTTATTCTGGTGTCCTGGATCTTGCTCTTGATGCAGTTTCAAGCAAAACGCCGCGTCTCTAATCGCCGCTAAATTTGGCAGTGAGAATTGTCCTCTAACTATACCGGGCGAGTGAACTGAAACTACAACAACAATAATACTGTAGCAGCAATAATAATAATAATAATCGGCGCGCTGTTGAACCACCTTGTACATGTCCCAATACATTTGATTGGCTGCGGTGGGTGATGGGATGGTTCTGAATGTCACCAACTTTTGTCGGATCGTTAACGTAGATCTCCGACGTTGATGATGATCTGCGGGCAAGATTACAGATGGGAGTGCGCACATTCTGGGATTAAACCGCACTGCCGAGTGCAGCACTTGCCCTAACAGTCTGTCAAGGCTATACGGGGGATCTTTGTATCTGTGTACCTGTGTGCAATGAACCCGGCGGCCCAAGTTCGATTCCCGCTCACGGCCAACACCAGTGACGATTATCTGAACCGGTCCTGGGCCTCCCCTAGGTCGAGTCAGCCTCAAATGAGTTAATCGTGTGCAGCGTGTAAACATCGCCATCGGGGAGACAAAGGAGGCCGGGCGTGGTGCTGGCAACCCACCCGCTCGGGTTTCCTGGTGCCGGCCTTCACAGGTGCTACTTGGTCACAGCACTTGCCCCAACAAAGTCTGTCAAGGCCCAACGGGGGACCTCTGTCTTTGTTTTGTCCCTGGGGGTGTGCTTGCGGCAGGCGTGCCGCTGGTTTTCGAGGCGTTCAGCTGGCAGCACGGAGTGTTCGTCGGCGCAGCCATGAGGTCGGAAGCCACGGCGGCCGCAGAGTACAAAGGTACGGGTTCAATTCTGGGTACTGGCCGGAACGTTGGCGAGCCACTACCATAGCTTGTCAACGCCATCCTAGCGGCTCACGGCAGAAGCACGGTCGGGATGAATTTGAGGAATTTAAGAAAAAAACGTCACCACCGCCGCCACCGCCACCAGCAGAATCAAAAGGAATACGAAGCGACTCTCAATTAGAAGGAATTCAATCGCGGCCTTAAATTTTAACAGGTCATGGGATTGCTGGGGGTCAGTTAATTGCATGGGCGGTTATGCCACCGTTGTTTAGGCAGAACTGCTTTTTTGTGTTTAGTTTGTTGTTCTTCCTCGATGAGCACCTCCGAGGAGCACGGCTGGCTACGTACGGTGCGAAAGAAGTTCACCGTACATCGCTAGATCAACCACGGTCGATCCACTGCTGAACGAAGGCTTGCAAACAGCGATCGCCGCCACCACCACCGCCGTCTCTCGCGATTCTGCGACGTTAACGACCCACAATCGTGGACAGTCCCCTAAACCCTCACTTGCGCCCTCCCCCCGCTACCACCTGCACTACCCCCCCACCCCGCACTCACCTCTGCTGCCCTCCACTACCCCCTCCACTACCCTCCCCCCCCTCCTCCTCCCCCGCACCACCCACCACGACCATCCGCTGACCCCCCCCCCGCACCACCCCTCCGCTACCCCCACCCCCCTCCCTCTGGTCGCTACCAGGCAAGGTCATCATGCACGACCCCTTCGCCATGCGCCCGTTCTTCGGCTACAACTTCGGCCACTACCTGGCCCACTGGCTCGGCATGGCCCGGCGCTCCAGCCCGGCGCAACTGCCGCGCATCTACCACGTGAACTGGTTCCGCCGGGGGCCCGCCGGCAACTTCCTGTGGCCGGGCTTCGGCGACAACTGCCGGGTCCTCGAGTGGATCACGCGCCGGCTCGAGGGCCGCGCGGAGGGCTGCCGGACAGCCGTCGGCGTGGTGCCGGCGCCCGGCGAGCTGGACCTGAGCGGCCTGGCCGAGGAGGTGGACGAGGAGGCGCTGTTCTCCGTGCCGCGCGCGTTCTGGGAGGAGGAGGCGGCCGAGATTCGCTCGTACCTGGAGGAGGAGGTCGGTGACGACCTGCCCCGGGAGATCCTCGACGAGATGGCCGCGCTGGAGGAGAGGATCAGGTCCATGTGATGGCGACGACGACGGCGGCGACGGCGGCGTCGGCGATGACGACGTGAAATCCGTTAGGGGAAGGACGGCGCTTAGCATGGCTCTTATAGAGATTCGGAAATTCGCATCGTGCCCGGTTCATTCTGAGGTGCCCCGTTCGGGTTCTATGAGACCCGGGCAATTTTATGGTTGTATCGAGGTTCGCCACGATTACCATTCCGTTCGAGAACCAATCATATCCTTGGCCTGTTTGCGTGACCCACCCCGTAAGTATAGAGACCACCTTCCTTTGCGGGTAACGCGCACACGTCGCAAATAACCGATTCCGAACACGCGCAATTCAAACGCACGTCTCCAGAGCGCGAGCGTTGAGTCCAATCAAAGAATCGCGCACATCACGTACACCTAAGCACGAGCTTCAACCTGGGGTTGGACCACCAACCTGGATTTGAACATTCCTCGGTACGATCGTCAGATTCGCAGCCGCTCCTTGTTGTTTCTCGACGCGTCGCTCCTGCAAAGAGCGCCAACGGGACAGAAATCCGGCGCGGGTCGACGTTCGCCGCCTCGACCGCCCGGTCAAATTATCCCGATTATCCCAATTGGCAGCTCCTGCGTTTGCCCTTGGAGATGTTTCCAGCAGGTGCGTCACACACGGTGTAGCGCAGGGGAAGGGCACGAGCGCACGCACGCACGCACGCGTCTCTGGTTTCGGGCGCAAAACATTTGTGAGCGGGTTGGGGGGCGGTGGTGGTGGTGGTAGTGGTGGTGGTCACTGGCGCGCCCGCCAAGTTGGCTAATTGGAACATCGCTGACGCGCACGGGGTCATCCGAGCGCGCGGCCGTGGAGGCCCGGCTTTAATTTCACGTCCAGTCCTCCCGCGGATGCCACTCGGGTGACACGGCGATTTGCCTGGGCGGTCCGCGAGCGAGCGTGCAAGCGCTACTTGCGGGCGAGCGCTACCCGCGAGCGAGCGGGCGAGCGCTACCCGCGAGCGAGCGCTACCTGGGGTGTAAGTGCGGTTGGCATCTGGCCCCGGCACGGGGAATTAAATGGGCCCCAGCCCCCTTGCCCACCCTCCAGCCCGCAGGCCCACTGTGCAACTGCACCGCCTGCGCGTGTACGTACGTACGTACGTTGAACTTCTTTCGCACCGCACGTAGCCAACCGCGCTCATCGGAGGCTGCGGGGGAAGGACAACAAACTGAACCCCAAAAAAAGTAGTTCCAAAGAAATGAGTTCTCAATGTGGATGATGATGATGATGATGATGTTGATGATTTCAAAGTGCATAGCTCCCAGTGGCTTCCTAATGTCGGGAGGGCGTTCGGGGCGCACGCGGTTGTGCAGGAGCCGTTCGGTCGTAGTTGGCAACGGTGGTGGGAGCCATAGACGTACAGTCCACGTGGTTTTGCTGCGCTCTCCCCCCGTGCTGCTGTCGACAGCTTAGGCCCCTGGAGCCTGTAGGCTCTGAACAACCGTTTACATGCCTCGTGGTTGGCTTCTGAGATTTCACGGCATTTGGGCGCATTCCCCGCGATGTGGGCATCGGGGCATAAGACGGAAAAAAATAACGGGGCGGTTGAGAATTCAGTACGGAAGGTTTTTGTTTTTTTATGTTTTGAACCGCTACCTGGGGGAATGGAGGATCTTGACGTTTCGGCCTGCTGACCCCCTTCTTCAGGAAACAGTGGTTTTACGGAGGCTTGAAATAGTCCCATCGAGGTGGTGTCAGACGGTGGAACTCGCTCGGGTGCAATACACGTGACAAAAGCGGCATTTGAGAATATTTGTTTTGAATGCATTCCGGGGGAATTAAAAAAAGTATTTTTTTTCATTTGAATAGCGCAGACAACCCCATTCAGATGGTCTTACCGGTTGGTCGATGCGATTGGTCGACCAAGACGGGGGAGGGGATTGTTGTAACGAATAGGCAGGCGTCTGCTAACGCGAAGAAAGCCTTCCTGGCGGGAGCTAAAATACCCTTGCACAGTGAACTCGAATAAGCTCCAGATCACCGTTGTCACGTGAATTAGAAAGACGTTGATTTAATGTAATTCTAGCAGTAGGATGCTAACGGAGAATGTATTGAGCCAAGCAGTTGGGACAGCAATAATAATGAGAATAAAAAAAAACACTTTAAACATCTCTCCTCTCATGGATATCAGAATCAGAATGTTTATTTATACTGAAAGAATCCGACGAGCGATAAAGCACTTTTTCACAGGTGTCCTCCTCGTCGGACATGTACGCGAAGAGACGAGCTACATCCGTTGCTCAGATTTCAAACGACGAAATCTCACGGTAGCCTGAAACACAAAATAGCCGCGGACAAAATGTCGAAACCCATACCGACTTCTGTAGACTTGAGACGATTGTCGCGTTAGGCGACGCTGCTGCTGCTGCTGCTTGCCGCCACATTGGCAGCGGCGAACACGCGACAGCTAACAACTCAAGAGCTTGGGCGACGGTGCGGTGGTGCCGCCTCCAGTGCCGGGATCATCCTAGGAGCAAAAGTAGCCACATATGTAGTAGCTACCACATATGTAGCTGCTACATATACAGGCATATGTAGTAGCTACCACATATGTAGCTGCTACATATACAGAAATATACAGGCATATGTAGTAGCTACTACATATGTAGCTGCTACATATACAGACATATACAGGCATATGTAGTAGCTACCACATATGTAGCTGCTACATATACAGACATATACAGGCATATGTAGTAGCTACCACATATGTAGCTGCTACATATACAGACATATACAGGCATATGTAGTAGCTACTACATATGGCTGTATATTTAGTAGCTACTACATATGGCTGTATATGTAGTAGCTACTACATATGGCTGTATATGTAGTAGCTACTACATATGGCTGTATATGTAGTAGCTACTACATATGGCTGTATATGTAGTAGCTACTACATATGGCTGTATATGTAGTAGCTACTACATATGGCTGTATATGTAGTAGCTACTACATATGGCTGTATATGTAGTAGCTACTACATATGGCTGTATATGTAGTAGCTACTACATATGGCTGTATATGTAGTAGCTACTACATATGGCTGTATATGTAGTAGCTACTACATATGGCTGTATATGTAGTAGCTACTACATATGGCTGTATATGTAGTAGCTACTACATATGGCTGTATATGTAGTAGCTACTACATATGGCTGTATATGTAGTAGCTACTACATGTTGTAGTACATGTTGTAGTAGCTACGGGCCCCGCACTTGCAAGGGCGCCCAAACGCTAAATGCTTTCAAGCTATCAATTCCGGTTCAGTGATTCTGCACTTGCTCTATTACTATAGTACTATACCACCTACAACCTTTACGAACGACTGGGCATTTAAGGATAGCGATTTGTCGTATTATCTGGCTGCATAGCAAATTAAAAAATACATTTACTTTACAATGCAAGTAAGAAATTATATTTTTTATTCAGGGCCCCTTTTATAACAAATGCTCAAGCCACGCACTAGCTTTATCCGGCACTGGCCGGCTCCACTGGCAGCTGGCTGTTTGCTGCCTTCCAAAATTGTCAGCTTCCTCCTCAGCACAGACGACGGTGGCATGAAGCAGTGATGTAGTTCGGAGGGGCGTGATTCGCACGGTTGGCTACATACGGCGCGAATGAATTTCAAGATTTCGTACGTAAAATGATGGATGAGAAGTTCATAAAATTGCCGATTGTCCGGCTAGTCGTGAGAAGTTCAACATACGTGCTAATCGAAGGTGTGGGGTGTTGAGTCTATGGGCAGCGTTGAGTCTATGGGCACCGTTGAGTCTATGGGCAGTGTTGAGTCTATGGGCAGTGTTGAGTCTATGGGCAGTGTTGAATCTTTGGGCGAGTTGAAATACAATCGCTCATTTACCGGTTGCTCAACGGAGTTGGAAAATGCATTGCAGTCGGTACACACACACACACAAAGTCGTAGAATAGAGCAGCATAGACGCAGAGGAGTTGGATCCTGAACAACCTGTAAAAAATCACGGATTACAATGACATTCTCAGCTGTTCGTTTTACACTACAAGTAACAGGTCGAGAGAGAGGAGGTCGTGATCCCAGAATGCCGAAACTTTACTTTTTCACGCGTGTGTTGAGCGTGCACGGCAGAAGCCGCGTCCCGAGCGTAGAGGATCAATTCTGAATCGTCGAATCGTCGAACGCCCAAGCCACCGCTACCATTGCGGCCACCGCACAGATTTCACGAGCGTACGACATCACGCACGTACGCGCTTGTAGTCTCGACGCAAGCTCTACAAGCACGGCACTCCTTGCTGCTTGACGATCGTTATCACCTTGCAGTGGCCAACTCGTCACAGGTTACACAGATCTCAAGCTGCGTTGAGATTAGGGGGCATTGCAGGGGGCACGGGTGGGCAGGGGTCTGCAAGTGACGGCCCCGCAAGCCACATTTGGCCCTGTTGAGAGACGTGGCCTGGCCGAGACATCAATAGACACGGATGAGTTAAATAAAAGTGGAGATAAGCAAGGGAAGGAGATGACAGGGCTGTGGACAAGATAAACATTTGTCAGTTGAAAGATCGATGAACAAGCGAGAGATAGAGAGACATGGAGAGAAGAGGCCCAGCATAGATGAGACAGAGATGAAGGCTGTAGATGGTACAGCCGAGATAAAACCATGACGCAGTGACTTAACAACGTTTGTACGCGTGGTATAACGTCACGTGGCCCACGGGAAAATATATTTGAATGCTGCTATAGGGTAAGCCATATTGGCATTACAATATTAATGGATGGGCAAAACACCCATGCAGAGGTTACATTTTAACTTGGGGACGTGAGTTCTTAAGCTTGTTTTACTTTAAGTGGAATGCATGCATATGCATACCGCTGTTATGCGTACGGCAAATATTTATTGCTGAAATTCTCAAGTCCTTAAAAGTTTTTAATTTAAAAGCTGAAGCTGCATAACAAATTATATATACTACGCTCAATTCGATATGGGGTGTTTTACAGAATGGAAAATATCACGCGTTTTTATTGAGCACCTCTATGCAATGGTTAAGACACTGTGCAATCTTCTGTATTATCCTCTTGGTTCTTTCGGTAAAGTCACGTAGAATGGAAATACAATAATAAAAATAAAACATTTATTTTATTATGTGACTGCAGGGATTCATCAGGAAGATGAATCCCTGCAGTCACGAAAGCTAAACTTCTATATTGTTTTACTGCTCTTGTCAGTCATGGGCAGGAGGGCAGAGTGGGGGGCGGGAGGGTGTCGCTTGACCATACTTCACCACGCTGGTCAGTGCAGAGGTTGGTGAACTGGGTCAGAGGATTTCCCCAGGTCTGTCTCACTCGCCACTGACGTTAGCCGTGGCTGCTGATAGAACTCACGGCCCACATATTGCGCTCTGACCGACCGCTGCAATGACACAATCCTTCAGAGCGGAGTGGAAGTAAATAAGCCAAGCATCCTCAAGCTTTGACGCAGGAAAGAGTCTCAACACTCATTGTCATGAGGCTCCCGCTGACGTTGGGACGTTTGGCCAGTTGCTTTTTGAACGTAATTATCGCGCGGGAGGAAACCGGATTGAATCCCGGAGGGATAAAAAAAAAACCACCCACCACGCGAACGAGGGGATAGCGGCTCTCAAACCCCATACTACTTTGTAGGTCGCAACCTACTTGCTGCACTGCATATTTGATTGCCCAGAAGGCTGGCACTCATCAAGTAAGGCTCCGGGCAAAATAAGTACCGAATTCTCCTGAATTATAAGACGTGCTTCCCCCCCTGTAACGTAGTGTCGGCGAGTCTTACAATCCGGAAGGTGCATGTGTGTGTGGGGAGCGGTGGTGCAGTGGTTAGTGCACTGCGCAACGGACCCGGCGACCCGTGGCCAACACCAGTGACGATTATCTGAACCGGTCCTGGGACTCTCCTCGGTGTACGAAGGAGGCCGGACGTGGTGTTGTTGGCCACCCCACCGCCTTCGTGTCGTGCCAGCCTTCATATGTGCTACTCGCTAACAGCACTTGCCCCAACGGTCTCTTAAAGGCTATGCGGAGGGGTGGGAAATCTGTCTTTGTATGTGCGTGAACAGATTTATATCATTCTATTTACACTGGGCAAACAAGACTTTAGGCGGTGATGTCTTACTTTCCAGATCGTCTTATGATGCAGAGAATGCTGTAAATCAAGGCTCATATCCTTGTGTGATCCACCAACCCCATACTTGTACGAGGAGAGAAGCGTCTTCTGTAAAGTTGCTCACGTGCGTTTGCCGTAACCGCCTTGATCTGGAAAAATGAAGTATTTGTAGCTGCCTTAGGTCAAATCAACCAACACCACGATAAAAAAAAAACCCGCGATTATACCCCGTGACATAAATCATCGTGAAGTTTTAAAAAATCTTGAGTAATGAAAAAGAAAAATGACGTGCACACTGATGCGATGCGTTTTGTATGTCCGGTGATTCATTCGTGTATCCAGAACACCGACTGTATCTATAATTTTTTGCGCTTGATGAAAAATGTTGGAGAGAAAAAAATGGATTAAAATCTTTGCAGATTGTGTCTTGCGATGGTTATTGTTGGGTTCCCTCCGTCAACGGCAAGGGTGGAGAACTTAACTTTACACGGCCTGTGGGCCACACGAAACCTACCACCCTGAAAAAGCCTGAAATTAATATTTATTTACGTCACCACAAGCATCTAAAGCAGCACTAAATTGGACACACTTGAGAGAGGGGACATTTGACCCACCCACTCTCCCACAAACCCATCCTCTCAACCATCCAATCACTCACCTATCCACTCACGCAGCCACCTATTTACAAACCTACTCACCCACCCACAAGCTATTGTCACAAACTGCAGGAGCATGTGTGTGGTTGCCCACCAAAGGTATTTAATATTTCTATGCAGCCCTAAGTTAGCAAACGGTTGCCCACCCATTACTTATACTGATCTCGGTACTGGTGGTGGTGAGCCATGTGGTATTCATAATAAAGGGGTTGGTGAATTCATACCGATTTATAAAGGGGTTTTGCAGTTTGTGAAAATGAGAATTGTCCCATGGCCACAGACGTATGGACACACGGATAAAACATGTCCTGGGCATTGCAGTAGGTTACTACTGGCTTCCTTAAAATAATACATTAAAATATAGCGAAGGAATGGAATGGCATCTGAGAGGACGTCCACCAAGGGGATGGAGCGATAAAAAATCGGTTCATACGCAGGTGCTGGGTGGATGGTTACATCGCAGGATTCCGAAAGGTGGTGGCGGGTTTTGGGAAGCCTTCATCCAGCAGTGAACTGACCATGGTTGATAATGCTGGTGAACAATACATCAACATTCTCCAATTGACCACATGAACCTACAGAATAGGACTGTACACATGGTAAAAGATGGCGTTTTATTTTAATGACAAACATTTATGGAGTAATAAATCAACTGAAGAATAATTGACCGCACACCCCGAGGGTGTTCCCTTCAAATACCATCATTCGTTAGCTCATGAAATAAAGATGCAACAGATAACCAGGTCGACGCATCGAATTATTAAATAAACAACCAAATGCATAAAAAAAGAATAGCTTAGAGTCAATTGGCAGTCCACTGCTTGATGAAGCTTCCTCATAACCACATCAGTAATGGGGGTTGTTTGACCATACTTCCCCCTGCCGGTCAGTACGGGTTGGGATAAAGGGTTCATTCATCACTCGCCACCAACGTTAGCCGTGGCTTTAGAATTGAACTCAGGTTGGTGAGCTCATCGGGCAGTGTGGTAACCGCTCCACCACCGCTCCCACTCACCCCACCCTTTTAACTAAACGCTTATGGATATTATTCTGTAATGCCAAAAGACTGTTGGATGAAAACAATATTTTATTTTTTTTGCGGCGATATAGAACAAATGTTCAATTATTCATTTTGGCATCGAGAATTCTTCACGTTGCATCGTATATTCGAATTCTTTTGTTTTTTACAATATAATGGAGTTGCTGACAATTTAACAGGGGGGGGAAACTAGAAATGTAAAGATTCACTCCCGCCCCCCCCCCCCGCCCGGCGACTCTGACGTGGTTCGAATCCAGTGGCCGCCCTGGTTATTACTACTTCTGTAATAATCATAACTGCACGCCGCCTGTTTTACAGTGGGCGTTAAAGATCCCCTGACATCACTCGCAAGAGTAGCTGGCCACTGTGTGCCGTCGAGTTCCAAATTTACCAAACTCGAAAAACGTTACACAGCAAACTACTGAACTGGGATTGGACACAAGAGGAACAATCACCGTTCCGCCAAATTGCAGAGTAATTCCTGATTGCAGACCAGGTGCAGTCACCGTGTGCTGCAAACGGGACAGCTGCCACTGGGGGTGCCCTTTCAAATGCTTCAGGAAGAGACGTGATGTCTCTTGAGTTCTCAGCTCCTTAAATAAACCTGAAACAATGGTTGCTTTCACCTTGTGGTGCACAATAGCGCCTCTAGTGGTTACTGGCATTACCACAACAACCGAAAACCCATACGGAAATTCGATTCACAGCTGAAGGCTTCTCAATGGCATCCGGGTCATAGGGTTATTGTGAGCGTAAGAACCGATGTTAATCAATTCATAAATTCATTGTTCAATTCCTCGAGATCTTTCATACAAAATCTCTCGATGTTTAGATTTTTTTCCTTCTTTTCCTTAATGCTGAAAATGAGACGCAAAACTCCGTTACCCGAAAACGCTGAGAGAATCAAAGTGCCGTGTGCTGCTGTGATGGCTGAAAAGAGGTCGGTGGCAGTTTAAGGTCAGGGGCTGAAGGTCAGAGGTCAGATGGTGAGAAGATTGGGTGGAGGTTGTTGTGGGGGCAAGGGGGCGTTGGTCAGAAGAGGGATGGAGGGATCTCGCCTCCAAAGAGCATCTTCCACGAGCTCGGGGTTTTCCACCTTGGAGTGGACTCTCCTTCCTGCATGAACGCACACACACACACACGTGCCCGCACGTGTCAAAGCTTTGATGATAGACGTACACAGCCCTTTTGACATTTATCAGCCATAGTCCATCCGCTGCTGGATGAAGGCCTCCCCTAACTGCCATGGTCCTCCCACGATGTGACAATCCCAAATAGCTCCAGCACATATGCTGATTTAATTGCTCCATCTCCATAAAAATACTACCCCCTCTCAGACGCGTCCCCACCTTCAGTTGGCACTTTGTCATCAACCTAGACCGTCGGGCATCACCCCTTCTAGCCATGACGTGCCCTGCCCAAACCCACCTACTCTTTAAGTCAACATGTCTCCCAACTTGCTTGCAGGAGGATCCTACCAATTTTTTTGTAGAAATCTGGCGATTTTGTTTAGTGTAATCCTATTGGGGGCACTGCGGTGGCGAAATGTTAACTACCTCGCCTGGCACCCTATAAATACAAATCCCCAACCTTAAGTAGACAATTGTATGAAACTACGCTCCTTTGCGCACTGCGGGAAATTCACCGTTGGAGTTTAAGAGAACTCCCCTCCACCACAGGGGCTTCGCCTCTTACCGCGACGTCAGCAAGGCGCAGCCACTGCTGCAGGCGGTCGGCAAGCGCGAGCGCGTCCGGTATGTTATCTCCCTCGGAGCAGAACGCCAGCAGGACGGCCACGGGCAGCCCCCGCGCACTCCTGACGCACACAAACACACACAAAACCACGAAGCGCGTGCGGTCAGTGCCTTGGTCCCGTGTTCCAACTTATTTATCAATTTAAATCAGCTAAAACCTCCCGTAAACAAACAAAAAAACAATCGTGTTAACTTCTGTCTCGCCCACCCCCTTCTCTCCACTGGCCCCCTGTGAAAAAAGCTCCCTTCTGCTCGCTTCTTCCTTCTCTCTTCTCCCTCTTCCCTCCCTTCCTCTCTCACCATCACCATCTCTCATCTTTTCCATCTTGGCCCAGTCATTCCTCCTCCTCCTCCCCATCCTGCCTGGCGCATCTTCTTCTGTCTTCCTGCTGCTCATCTGTGCTATGCCCTCCTTTGTCCGTCTTGGGGAATTCAATCCCTAGAATCCCTTTACCACCTTTTTTCCATCCATTACATTTTTTACTCTACTCCCCGTCCTTTGCTGATGTGCCTTAATCTAAAATGCTTTGTTCTTATTATTACTATTACACTTGTTTAGCCACCCAGCTAAGCCTCTGGTTATCAAAACTATTTTCTTCAGGAAGGTCCTGCCATGTTTTTTGCAGTAGGTGGCAATGTTGGTGCTGTGCCGGTAGTTGTTCAGCATTGGAATGTTTGGCCATTACCAGTAACACTGTACGGTTTGTTTATCTACGGGAGGGAATTTGAGAACCCGGAGGAAACCCACGCAGCAAGAGTTTCCCCTATGCGCCCTCCCGCTGTCCAACTGCTCACTGATTTCCTCTAGAATGCTCAAAAACACGGGACCATGATTAATGATGCACTCCACTAGCAGGTAAATGTTGTCATTGCCAGGGTCGATTTTCTAGTTTGAGTGACCCTCTCGGCGTAAGTGCGCCCCCTACTGTGTACAGCATTGAAAGGCCCTGTGAAACCTCTCTTTCATAGGCCATTTCTCAGTGATTTCAAAGTTGATTCTTCGTCCAACGAAATGGCGCCGAAAACAGCACGATGACAATGCTTCAAACCTGTAGCAGACAGCCGGAACACAGAGCCTACAGGCTACTACGTACAAGAGCAAATTTCTTAGTTTTTTCGGTAAAGTCACGTTGAAGAGAAACAACAAAATAACAAAATATATATAAAACAATAAAAAATTCTCACGACGTTTCGACCATAACTCAAACGGTCATGCAAACCGACACACCTGATGATGACCGTTTGAGTTATGGTCGAAACGTCGTGATAATTTTTTATTGTTTTATATATATTTTGTTATTTTGTTGTTTCTCTTCAACGTGACTTTACCGAAAAAACTAAGAATATGAATTACTGCAGTCACGAAAGCTTTAAATCAAAATTTAAGAGCAAATTTGTTTCTAGTTTGTTCCTTGGGTTACGTTATCCTTCAAGCTGTGGGATCAGCCAGGTTCGAACTCTGCTTGACATCCCGACTCGCCCTGAGCTGCCATGCGTCCTGCCCCACTGCACTGCGTCGTCGTCGTCCCCCCCCCACCGCCCCTCCCATACTTCACCCGTCCAGGAAGAGTCCCTTTGAGAGCCCTCCTCCGGGGATGGCGAGCTCGGGGGGCCCTCCCAGCCCGGGGATGACCTCAGATGGCTCCAGCTGAGTCCAGCCCAGGGCCTCCACCACAGGCCTCTCCGTGGCCTCCAGCGACGGGGAGAGTAGAAACCGGTAGGGGGGGCTGGAGAGGACGGGGTGAGGGGGTGGGAGAATGGGTGGGCAGGTGAGTGGGTGGGTGATTGGATGAGGTGGGTGGGTGAGAAAGTGCGTATTTTGGTGAGTGGATGAGTAGTTGAATTGTGATGACGGAGTCCTTGTAGAGTAATTGGTCAGTGGGTGGGTAGGTGGTTGAGTAAATAAGTGAACAAGAGCCTGAGGGAATGAGTCAGAGGATGGGTGGATGTAGGAGTTGGTTAATGGGTGATTGAGTGGGTTATTGAGCAAACAAGTGAATGAGTGAGCAGTTAACAAGTGAGTTGGTGATTGAGTGGGTAAGTAGGTGAGCGAGCAGGCGAGCAAGCATGCAAGCACAAGTGAACAGTGAGTGACTGACCAAGCCAAGTGATTAAAGCTCGCGAGTGGATGCATAAGTGGGTAAGTGAATGAGCACGAAAGCAAGTCAAGCGAGCGAGTGAGCAGGCCAAGTGACTAAGAAAGTCAGTGGTGCATGCGCAACTGGGTGAGCGAGCGAGCGAGCGAGCAAGCAACGGAGTAAGCATGCAAGCGAAAGAACGGGGCAGCGACCGCACGAGTGACTGAGCGAGCAACTGAGCGAGCGAGCTCATCGCTCACCCGACAAGCTGCTTGTCGGTGCGCATGTGAGCAAAGCTGCTGGAGAGGATGACGACGCGAGAAAACCCGCCAGCCTCCACCCAGTCGAGCATCTCGCGGCGGGCGCGCTTCTTACGGCCCTGCACTCACAACGCACAGGATTCTATGATCAAGCACCAGTATCCGGTTCGCATAGACACCTGTATAATAGACTCTCACTCACACGGTTCTTATGCACGTATCTTGAGCGCAAGCATCGATTTCAATCGATGTAGAAATGCGTCGTGACGTGCCTTCTATTCGCACTGTTAAAAGTCAAAAGAGAGATTTCTTGCTCAGATGAACGTTGAGTTAATCGTCATCTCCCGTTTACAGCCCTCAGCCCAATGATGGAAATTCTACGTTTCTATGGCAGGTGAGCTTCTCCAGAGGCTAACCACCGTTGACTTCCCCCCACAAAGCGGTGCTCATTTTAACGATCCCGAAGACATGATGGGCTGAGTCGACCTCCAACCAGGATGTTGATGCCGCACTAATTGCTATTAGCAGCGAGTGAGGTGTGATGGTAAGTGACGATGTTCGTGACAAGACCTCATTTTTTATTTGAAGCTTTCGTGACTGCAGAAATCCATACTCTTTGGTTCTTTCGGTAAAATCACGTAGGTATAAAATAAATCACGACGTTTCGGGCGCAACACAAGCGTCCGTCATCTGACGACGGATGCTTGTGTTGCGCCCGAAACGTCGTGCTTTTACCCAAAGAACCAAAGCGTAAAGACCTCATTTGCCTCACCTTGATGATGGGAGATCGGATCTGGACGAGCGCCACCCGCTTGTCAGGTGCCACGTACACTACTCACGCGACAGAGAGGGACACACACACCCGGGAGGCTTCGGGCACCAGGAGGGCTTGTGTTGGAGAGGAGATGGATCTTCACAGAAACACGTGTACATATTCCATAATTCCCCCCCCAACCCTCTGGGGGGCAACCGGACGCTAACGCAGCTCAGCGAGCGCTCACCCTCGGTGCTCACGTGCAGTCGGTCGGCGTCGGCGCCGTCCTCGCTGTACGGGTTGTTGCCGACGAGCGGCACGTAGCACGAGGAGCGTAGGAAGCCGGCGCGGCGGGCGCGCAGCGTCACCACCAGCACGTCCTGCGTCAGCTGCGGCACGTTGCCTACCGAAACGGTGGGCTGGCAATACAGGAGGCGGGAGGCGAATGGGGACAACCGAGACGAAAGACAAACCGAGGGGGTCGGGGTTAAGGTGCAACAATACATTCGTTATTTATAACAATGTATGTATGTTGAACTTCTTCCGCACCGTACGTAGCCAACCATGCTAATTGGAAGTGCGGGTGAAGGACAAGCTAAACACAAAATGCAGTGCGAAAGACATGAGTTTTCAAATTAGATTTAAAAGTGCACAGCTCCCAGTCGCTTCCTATGATTGGAACGAAGAGCGTTCCAGACAGCCGCAGAAACGCATCTGAAGGCGTGCGATGCGGTGACGGTCTTCGTTCGATGGTTAGCCAAAAGCCGCTGCTGTAAGGATGACCGGAATTCGCGTGATGGTTTATGTTCCTTGAGATCAGCAAGGCACTGTGGTTCATTTGTGGAAAGCACTTTGTGTGTCTTGAGCGAGAATATAATAATGTATTTGTTCAGCAACCGAAAGCCAAACTGTAACAATAACAATTTGTTTTCATACAACGCCCTTCATGCCCAAACGACTCAGAATGCTTTACAAACATACTCTTTGGTTTTTTTGGTAAAGTCACGTAGGTAAAATAAATTTGCTGTGACGGTTTCCAACTGAAGACGGAAGCTTGTGTTGCCTCCGAAACGTCGTGATTTAATTTAGTTGTTTTCCTTGCAGTCACGAAAGCTTCAAATCTAGAATGCTTTACACACGATGAGCGACTTGCATCACGTCCGATTAGCACGGTTGGCTACGTACGGTGCGAAGGAAATTCAACATGCATACATACATCTCCTCTGAAGCATTAAAAAGGGGCACCCCCATTGGCAGCTGTCCGTGTGCAGCACAAGACGATTCAATAACTGGCCTGCAGGCAGACATTTAGTAGGGCCATTATTGCAATGCGGAATACGAAACAGGATCAGAATATTTATTTACACTGGAGAAATCCGATGAGCTATAAAGCTATTTTTCACAGATGCCCAGTAAACGTCAACTGTTAAGCATACGGTGCACATTATTTACGGTTACTACACCCGCGGTATTTATCAGGGAGGCCTGTCAGATTCGAGAAATAGTGGATAATTTTCAGGAGGGATTGTCAGTCTTTTCGGTAAAAGACCATGTTGTTATGTGTAATCCAAATTAAGTCATTTGTAATTATATATTATTTTAGTTTCGGGATGTTTTAGCCAATTTGCAGTTACATTGTAGTGTTTTTTTTGCGATTTAAGGAAAATAATGCAGAACTCCACACATGCCTTAACAAATCGCAATTATTAATCAGATACATCGATAAACAATTCTACAACGAGACTATATACTGTATATACTGTAGGCGAATGGTCACAGACGAAGGGTCATTGCTTCCTTTGGGGACGTGTTTATTGATAAATACGTTGAGTTTTACTGAAATGTTTTGCTCATTACTGCCTACAATGTACAACGCGTGTTCCGTTTTAATCAAACTGGGTAAAGAAAATACATTAATAAACAAGAATAGCCGTGCGTGTATGGCAAAGCGGCACCGTCCGTAGGCCGCGTTGAGACCACGGTGCTCGGATAGCGGCTCTGCCGGGGAGGGCGCGCCCTCGACAGGCTGGGCAGGAACACCGAGGCGCAGGCCCTTTTATCGCCGTAAAAAACTAAAACTAATAAACTATTTTTTTTAACGGGTAAAAACCCACCGAGCAGGCCACGAATGATAGCTCAACGGAGTGGCTTATCGCGTGAAAATGTATAGCAGCCAAATACACCAAACTTGTGTCTATTAAGGGGCCGTTGTTTTATGAAGGGCCATTGCCCAAAATGTAAATTATTTTTTTATTATTTTTTAAATGTTGGTGGGTTTTTTTTCTACAATAAGGGTGTTTATATTAAATGATTACCTTTACGAGTTGCGGTGCCTCCATTTCACGGACAACATATACAGTAGTTTGATTTCCGCATAGAACAGTACACATTTTAGCGCATCTTTTAAAGGGTTTTTGTTTTAAATAGTATACACTTACAGCACAATTGCGATTGGTAAAGAAACGAGCTCCCATGTGGCTAAGAAATTGCGTCGATACGTTTTTATTTACGTTATGGGTCCCCAAGTGAAATATACAAATGTCGCACATTCAAATTTATAAAACCATCTAATTATCTCAGAATTTCGCGAGAACAGACAATATTAAAACTATAAACACACACGAGGGCTTCACCTGCCTATACAAATTGGTTCAAAGCAAGCCTTGCAAAAATGATATCTATTTAATGTATGAACATCTTAACACCTGTATTATTGCCAGAAAGGGTTAAAACTATTCTAATTTTTTTCTCCATACAAGCTTTGGCACCGCTGACGAGACGATCAATATCGATACCGGTCCGATCATTTGTTTGTATTGAACCAATTAGTGCGCCTAATCCGGCGTGTAAAACAAAGTTTTATATTTTAATTTTGTAGAGGTACGTTGGAGGCGCATTGCCTGTTTAATGCCGGAGACAATCATTGCTTCAAATGGCAAAGTGATTTCATTATAATAAAAAAAAACTCACGAGGATCAGCGTGAAGCCTTTAAAGTTGCCGCCAAAATCCGCCTCTTGGTCGGGTACGAACATGTTAAAAAACCTTAACGTGGAAACAACCTAAGGAAGAAATGTTGTCGTTAATAAATCAATGTTTGTTGTTTTGTGAGGGGGAAAACATCGACCACGCCGCTTGTGTTTGCGCAGTCGCTCATCAGTGATGTCAATTGCATTGCTCGGTCGCCCATCGTAAAACGTCACTTTCTGAGGGGCGGGGAGAGGGGAAAAAAAACGTGACTTTTTTTGTTCGTCGATATTTTTTTTTGTATGCGCCACCTTTTATATTCACTCAGCCGCACGAGCGAGTGACGAATGTGCACCTCGCACGATATTAATACGGGAACGTATCATTTTTAATTATTACGACGTCATCGTTTCCCGCCCTTTAAACCTAATTGGCGGGAACGTCGCGTTGCATTTGCTAGTCCCGACAGGCGCCGTCGGCTGCAATCCTCGCCATCCCATTGGCCGGGGTGCGCCTAAGGAGCGCTGCGAAATCAAATCGCTTGGACGTGTTTATATTCCAGAGTCACCCGCGCCAAGCGCGTTCGTTTAACAATGTTGTTTTACTCTTCGCAAAGATATCACCTTTAAAACTCGCACTTTTGTATCGCTAAGGTGTACACGGTTGGCGAGGGGAGGAGGCGGGGAAACATGACGTTGCCTCCCGAGAAGGTGTCGGAGCTGAGGCAAATCATCTACGATCAGCTAAATCGCGTAAGTAACGTTGATCGGCCCTTTCGAATAACCGCACAAAAAAAATTGGACGAATTGGTCTAACCGGGTGGTTGGGAGTATAAAGTGAGCGGCGCAGTTGCGCGAGTAAAATTTCGCGTTTTTAAATTAAAAGGTTGCCAATTGAGACTTCCTTTTTTTGCGGATAATAATGAGTTGTCGCGGTTAATAAGGTGCTGCGCGTCGTGAGGATCGGGTGCCGTTCGCTGATTGTTATTGATGATCCCCAGTTATTTATATGCGGATAATGAGATGCAGTTAATTAGTGTGATTTTGAGGCTATTTTGGTTGGGTTTTGCGGCTTAACTAGTGCACATTTCGTCCTTTTTACTTTGATGTCGTGAGGGTTCTGCCTTTGTAGTGAGGGTTGTGAGTTGACGCCGAGGAGGGGGGAGGAGGCGCCTCGCCCCCCATGTGAAGTGACGTCACCCGCTAATTAATATTAATGAGGGGGGGTGTCCATTTGGAGGACGTCATCTTACAATGATTATTAATGAGGGGGGGTGCTCCATGTGGAGTGACTTCACCTGATCATGATTATTATTGAGAGGGGGGGGGTCCATGTGGAGTGACTTCACCTGATCATGATTATTATTGAGGGGGGGGGGGGGGTCCATGTGGAGTGACTTCACCTGATCATGATTATTAATGAGGGGGGGTCCATGTGGAGTGACTTCACCTGATCATGATTATTATTGAGGGGGGGTGGGTCCATGTGGAGTGACTTCACCTGATCATGATTATTAATGAGGGGGGGTCCATGTGGAGTGACTTCACCTGATCATGATTATTATTGAGGGGGGGGGAGTCCATGTGGAGTGACTTCACCTGTTCATGATTATTAATTGGGGCTGGTCGACGTGGAGTGACGTCACGAGCGTTGCACACAGACATTCTTGGCTCATTATAGTCGGTAATAATAATGGAGGGGGGGGGGGGTCCATTTGTAGGACGTCACCTGCTCATTATTATTATTGAGGGGGGCTGGTCGATGTGGACTGACGTCACGAGAGTAGGTATTATGACGACAATGAGGGTGACAATATCCGCGTCATTCCGGTTTGCCAGTAGGTACTTATTTCTATAAAAAAGAATAGGTTTTACCCTTTCTGGCAATAAAACAGGTGTTAAGATTTTCAAACACCAAATATAAATTCTAGATTTAAAGCTTTCGTGACTGCAAGAATCCATACTCTTTGGTTCTATTCGGTAAAGTCACCTTACAATGATTGGCACTCTTTGGTTCTATTCGGTAAAGTCATATAAACCTTTTGCAAGGAATCATGTCTGCATTAACCACAAGTATGAAAAAATAATAAACCTATTATTGTTTCATACTTTGATAGGTCCCATTTTGTAGCTGCTCACCCCAAGCCATAAATGCTGTGATAGTGCATTGTCTTTGTACTGTTCACCTTTTGGCATTCTCTGGTCTGGCACTGGTGAGACTAGTCTGGTTTAGGCCAATCAGTTTCAAAGACAATGCATGTATGTTTGCTTGTTCACCACAAGCATGTGTGGTTAATGAAGACATGATTCCTTGCAAAAGGTTCATATTTGGTGTTTGAACATCTTAACACCTCCTGTTTTTAGTGCCAGAAAGGGTAAAACCTATTCTTATTTTTTCATACTTTAATACTTGCAGAAAGGTCCAATTTTGTACCTCTTTCTGATAATAACAATTACAACGATGATGACGGTGCTCTGTACCGGGCATTCAGATGGACATCCAGAGCACGGTGCGCGCTGTGCTGGCGGATTCCCTCCGCGGCGAGGGCGGCGAGGGCGGGCGCAAGCAGGTTCCCGTTTCGGAGCAAGACCTCCTGCAGGCACTGCACCAGCGTGGGGTGGTCGACCAAGTGATGGAGCAGCTCGCCTTCCGCCACGTGAGAACCCGCATACTTCATTCACCCCGCCCCTCTCAAAGCCTGTTTTTGTACGAATGTAAGTATGTATGTTGAACTTATTTAGCATTGTACGTAGCCAACCGTGCTCATCGGAGGTGCGGGGGAAAGGACAACAAACTCATTGTCGTGATAATTTTCCACGTCGCCCACACTCCTTCTCCACATTGCCCATGCCCTCTCTCTCCCCCACTCCATTTCCCCCCCATGTTTCCCCGCTCATGTCGGCTCCGAAAACACTCTCCCACCTTCACCATCCCGTAGACCTACCCGGTGAAGTATGGTCAAATAACCCCCGTGACTGACGTGGCATGGGGAAGCCTTCATCCCTCACTGTATTAACAAATGGCTGTAAATTAAGTGAATGCAACAATTAATTAAATCACTTAAGTTATTTTCACATTTTATTAAGTAGCACTGATGAAGGTATGTTTGACCGTTCAATATCACCGAATACTGTTTAGGTTTGGAGTGCGATTCCTGCTTAACTTTTCCAACCACTATCTTCCACACAGGGGGATTGGAATGGCGATAGTGGAGGAGGTGGTGTAAGAGATGGCAGAGGTGATTCATCTCCACGCAAGCCGGCGACACATGTGGTGGACACAGACCCAGCACAGCTGCGAAAGAGTGAGTTACACAATCGTCCCTTTAATCTCATTCCTGCTCTCTAAGCCCGCTTTTCTATCTCCTTATCCCTGCTCATTTAGGATGCGGAACTACTTCGCTCGACTGTTTATCTGCAGAAAACTCGATGAAAGTCAGAGGAAATATTGAAGTGAGGAATTATCTTGTCCATCAGAGAATAGGCACTTTTAAATTAATCCGCCTCTTCTTTTTAAGGTCTCGGATACACATTGTGTTTTGGAGACATGGAGACAAATGAGAGCGCAAGGCGACATGTGGCGATACACCGAGACTCAAGGAGACTTGGAGATAAATTGGTGCACATGGAGGCAAATTAGTGCACTAGGGGTCAAGTGAAGATGCCTGGAAATGTATAGGTACAGATGGAGACACATTGAGACAGGTTTGAACTAATGGAGACAAGCGAAGGCAAATGTTGACATACAGAGATACAGATTCACGTGGGGGGCATGTGTGTAAAAATAACGACACATTGACAAAGGGTGGTAAAAAAATAAACTAAACCCCTACCCATATATGCCCTTTCACCCTCCATCTTCCTTCACACCCAGCAAACATCGACCCTGGCCGTAGGTACCTGCACTTGCGGGTGCTGGGTGGGCGCGCGTTCCTGGAACACCTGCACACCGGGCCGTCGCCTCCTGCCTCCCCACCTGCCGGCACCCCGGGGCGGCCAGGCCCCACGCTCACACTGCACCTCAACTTCCGCTCGCAGCGCTTCCGATCGAAGCCCGCTGCGTGTGCCTGCGAGCCGGACCTCCGCGACAGCTTCCTGCTGGAGCTGCACGACGGATCGCGTGGTGAGTGTTTTCCTCCCGGTCACTCGTCCATTCATTGGTTATTGCCGTGGCCTCATCGGTGATATAGGGGCTTTTTTAATGTCACTTTGAATAACTTTGGCTGGGCCATTTTTGTAAATGGGTTTCGATAATATATTTTCCTCTTTGAAAAGGAGTCGTTAGACTCGGTGAGACATTCCTGGAAGGTTCCCTGCTCAGACACATTGGATGGTATCTACCTTCTTTAGTGGTCCTAAACCAGTGATGTAAATTCCACATTAATATGGCAGGGGTCAGTCTATGATTGATATCCCCCTTTCTTCACTTTGCCGTCCTCCCATTGACACCCAGTTTAGATATTTTATAGTGAGCAGGAATATATGAAAATTCTGTGGTGCAGTTGATTCAGTTCATGCTAGTTTCAATCAATATATTTTTAGAAAATCTGGCAATCTAAATTCTAATCAGTTTACTTATTTCTTGCTCCTCGGAAGGAAAAACCCCAATGATAATGGCTGAGCTATGTTGGTTAGGTTTTCTCATAATTTGCAGAAAGTGTTGGTTTTAGTAATGTTGCCTTTAAGCCAGTGCTAAGGGGGACCGCAGTGAAGAGGTAAGCCCTCTCCGTATATGGGCTCCCAGAGTCATGAAGACAGTCGTAAACATCGATGGCTGTACTGTAATGATTAGTCTTAATGAGGACGTAACTGGTCTTAAGTTGTCACTTGTTTCGATGCTGCTTGAACGGATGGCCACACTTGAGTTGGTGACTACACTCTCCACTACCTTTGGAGTTGGTGGTCTAGACAAGGCTAAGATACATTTTCATGCAACTTGTCGGTGACATGAAGTGCATGCAAGGCATTATGGGGGACATTCGTGCTGCTGCTGGACGTGAGCACATCTTTGCGTGTCATAATTTTTACCATATAGGAGAAGGCGGCAAGATGGCCGACACGACTACGCTACTGGGCATGAGTGACCCCGTGCACCTGGTGCTGGTGAAGACTGACGATGTCTCCGTGGAGACGACCCTGGTGACCTCGCACCGCTTGGAGTGGCGGCATGTGCTGGCCTGCCCCACTGCATGCTGGGACACGGCCGTTGAACTGCAGGGAGTGGGTACGGCTTGATAACACTGCAACGATTACCAGCGTTACTCATCATCGTCGTTGTTATCATCACAACAATGCTGGAATTGAGTAACAGTTACCTACGTTACTGCTCGTGGTACGATGGTTGAATGATTGCGATGAAGAATAGTAACGTAACATTTAACTATGTTACTATTCATCATAACGCTGCTTTGTCTTTGTGTGAACACGCTTGCGACTTCCAGGGTCTGAGTCACGGGTGGCGGTGGGGGTTCTGCACCTGCGCTTGGAGCTGCACCCGCGTCTCATTCACACGATCACACCCGACGTGCTCAACACGCAGGTCAGGTTCAGATGTGATCTCCCAACCGCCCTCAAAGCCAACCCTGTAATAGCAATGCCTCCATTCGCCCCTGCACTGCCTACTCACTGGAGACCCTCTGCACTCAGCATCATCACCCATTATCTAATTGCAGCTGAATGAACGCCTTCCCAAGCTACTGTATTGCCATCCCTCCTCGGGTTTGCGATGGAACAACGCATCGTGCTCTTGTGCAGGAGCCAGTTTCATCGTTCCGTGTCCACGGTGGATCCCCCTCGTGGGGGTGTTCCATCCTTTGGTTACCATTATCTTGTTCATATCGACCTCCCTTCTTGTGGTGTGTCCTGCGCAGTTAGATATTCTTGAGAGTCAATGTGATGCCTCAAACTGTCTCTCGGTATAACTCCAGGCACGCACCTCCACTCCAATGCTTCTTTTGAACACTTTTCAGATTTAATTCCATTTTCTTTTTCAGCGTCCATGCGTCTGATGTCTTACTCGGCAGTGTGCACGACCAGCTGTGATGTGCATTCTCAACTCAAAACTAGAACAAAAATGCATATAAATAACGAAAGTACGAATTACAGCCTTGGGTATGACATTACATGATAGCTCTATAATACTAGCATGCTGCTCACGAACAGTCCGACTATTCGGAGGGAATCTTTCCTCTGTGTGCATCTGTCTGGCCTTGCTTGCGTCATCTCAGCTGGGATTGGAGCGCCAGCGAGCGGCGGAGAAGGAACGTCTCTTTCTCGTCTACGCCAAGCAGTGGTGGCGCGAGTACCTGCAGATTCGACCTGAACATAACAGCCGTCTCGTCAAGATCTTTGCTCAGGTGAGGGGGTGCTGTTTGAGTTAACGATTATTTGGAATTTATCGGTATCTTTTAATCCAGGCGTGGTGGCACATGCCTGTAATCCAGTACCTATGTAGGCAAAGGGTGGGCATATCACATATCTTTTAAACTTCAATCAAGGACCTCTTTTAATTTGAATCATCGCTGTCTGCATCACATGGGTTGTGTTTACCAATCATCAGACACGTGTAGTGTGTAATTTAAAAAAAATTACGGCGAAGACTGGTAAATGTAGAAAGTTGTGGTCAACTGGGAGGACCGGAGTTTTGAGAAAACCCCGAATTAAGTGGTATTCATGCTGCTTTTGCCCACACTTCCGATTAGCACAGTTGGCTACGTACAGTGCGAAAGCAGTTCAACATACATACAAAACACACTCAACCTTATTTCTCTCTTTTTGTCCACCCTCATGCCTCTCTCGCACCACTCCACCATCTCCAGGATGAGAACGGTACAAACCGGCCGGTGTGCGCGTACGTGCGTCTCCTGCGAGCGGGGCGGCTGCTGGACTCGCCGCGGCAGGCCGCCCGCTTTGTCAGCCTCCTGGGCTACGAGCGAGCTCAGGCAGTGGGCGGCGGCGCCCGCCACGAGATGTGGAGCAGCGCTTTCGCCTTCCTGTGCCGGGGAAAGGTGGTGCAAGCGGCTCTCACTCACTCAACCCGCAGAGAGATTGACAGACGGGTGGACGGACAGATAGACTGACGGGCATAAAGATGGATGGACAGACACTCGGCAAACACCTTGACCTTCCTGTGCCAGGGAAAGGTGGTGCAGCGGCTGTCACTCGCTCAAATTAACAGATTGACAGAAGCGCCACGGTAGCTAGAGACGTTACGGAATCTCGTCGGATTTCAGAAGCTGATGGGGGTTTGAGCCTTGATCGTGCTTGTATACGGTGCTACGGCGGTGATGTTAACTACCTCGCCTGGTATACAGGAGGCCGTGGGTTCGATCCCGACCCTGACACCTGTATATTTGGAGTTTACGGTGTGTTTCTCTCATCATGACGGTGGCTAGGAGATGTTAACTACCTCGCCTGGTATGCAGGAAGTCTTGGGTTCGATTCCGACCCTAATGCCTACTGTTTATTTCGAGTTTGCGGTGTCTCTCCCCATGGTCGCGTGGATTTTTCTCAGACGGATGGATGGATGGAAGGAAAGATGGTTGGACGGCAGAACACTGACCACACCCTCTCATGAACCACACTGTGTGGGGAGGCACTCATCCAGCAGTGGGTTGACAAACGTGTGCAGATACATGTACACTGTTGGGCTAACGTTCTGCGGAATGACACGGTCACCCTCTTCTCCACAGGGCGACTGTGAAGACCACGCGAACCTCCTGTGCAGCCTCCTGCTGGGCTTTGGCCTCGACGCGTTCGTGTGCGTGGGCACCAAGGCGAAGGGGGAGCCGCATGCCTGGGTGGCCACCCGCTCCACCGACGGCACCGCCACCTTCTGGGAGAGCCTCACCGGCCACAGGTCTCTCATTAGTTCTCCCCGTTACTGCACGGGGGTCACGCTGCTCCAGTCGCGCATTCACTGCGTGTGATTACTTTGAGATCCAATACTTGCACATCATCTATAAACTTCCATAAAGACCCAGATGATCAATAGACTTGCATTGAGACCCACAGATGCACATACACTTACATGATCCACAGACTTGCATACGGACTCATACACATATTTAGAGACTTCCATCTTTCTCAAAGTCACAAGTGCCGTTATCGTGTGTGTACATTATCGTGCCACTTACGGTAAATCCTCACTTAACGCACTTTTACACAACATGTTTTCGCTGTCACGCAGTCGGGAACACTTTCCGCAGAACGTGGAATGCGCCGGTTATAATGTAAAACACGCACCCGTTATAATGCGGTGTCTTGAATGGTCAACGACGCAGTACTTTCTAGTTCTCGATATTGTAAAACAGTGTGATATTGTAAAATTGTGTAGCTTATTTAAAATATCTGAGTAGCACCTTGGCAACAGACATGATACAAATGTGATTTATTACTATAAAAAATATGAAGATAGATTCAAGAGATGCCTATGACCAATTCACCCTTTTGAGCAGCAAGGTGGCGCAGTGGTAACACTTGCGCGTCACGTCAAGGGGGTTGTGGCTTCGATTCCCTACTCGGGCCACTTTCTGATGGTAGTTTGTATATTCTCCCCCTGTTCTTCAAGGGTTTCCTCTGGGTTCTCCGATTATCTCCCATCGATAAAAAAAACACACACATACAATGTAACTTGTATTGGCCAAATCCACATGTTGAAAAAAATACCTGGAAGTTAGTAGATTTAAATTAATATACATAGCAACATCGCCCCCTACTTTGAAAACGTGGCAGGACCCTCTTGATGAAGAGTATTGACACTCAGGCTTTCCTGGGTAAACACTCATAATAATCTGTGCCCCAAATCTAGTGATCTCAAATGCTAAGCATGTTTAAGCCTGGTAGGTACTTGAATGGGTGACCACTAGGACTAACCAGGTATTGTCGAGATAGATGTGGGCTTGGGAGGTGGGTACTCTGGTTTCTTTGCACACAAAGCAAAACTCTTTATTTCAAAAGGAAATTATCATATCCTTAACACATGGTCCTGCTTATAGAGAGCCATGAAACTCAATGAGGCTTTCCTAGATAAATAAATCCCATTATTAGTATTACTCCAGTTTCCTCTAACATGCAAAATTACTCATTAAGGAACTGGCCGAACATCACCAGTGCAGTCATGAGCCTCGGCGAGCCTTTCCTGTGTAAATAATGGACTAATGTCATAATATTAATTCCACAAAGACCGCTCGCAAGGTTGTACGTGTGCTGCTGCACCAATGATACAGTGCAGTGTATGTCACAGAGACTAAACAAATGACGACCAGGAAATTCAACACCGTTTAAAGAAAACGTTCTTCTGACTGAAGGTTTGCCAAGCAAGGATTCACGAGCCAAAACGCTGTGCTACAATGCGTGTGCAAAAATGCTGCTTACGCAAGTTGGCCTCGATAACGATAATAACAATTAATAATTTTACCCAGGAAAGCCACAAACAGCCCAAAGATTCCTTTTTCCAGGAGGGTCCTGCTACACTTAGAATGTCTGGCCAACACAAATTACTTTTGTATGGTTTTTAACTATGGGAGGAAACCAGAGAACCCGGAGGAAGCCCAGGCACAACAGTTGCAGAGCGTACAAACTCCACACAGAGAAGGGTGCCCAAGTCGGGAATCGAACCCAGGCCCTTATTGCTACGAGGTACGAGTGTTAACATTGTGCCACCCTATCGCCTACAGGCGTCTCTGCTTCCGGTGTAATTTTCATTCCAGTCTTGGGCTTCTGAAAAAGAGGCAGGAAATTGGGTGGAATAATAACTCTATTTGTTATGAATATATACATTTTTTCTCACGTGGAAAATTTGTACGAAATGCTATTGTGTGCCGAAGTGACGAATCGGGGATAGGAAAGTTATAACATAAACAGACAAGGGTCTGTTTTGCAGAGTCAAAACAAAATAAATTGACATTTCGGGGCCACCAGCCTATGGGCCTTTTGGACCAATATTTTTTTTACCAGCAGTGTTTGTTTAAGCAAGGGTACTTTGGACCAGTCTCAGCATGAAATACAATGGATTTGTACGGAGATGGAATTGAGGAGTCTCTCTCCCTCTTGTGTCTATTGGACTCCAAGTCTATGACTCTCCATGGGTCTTTGTGAGCGTACACCAGGGGTCGGCAACCAAAATAACAAGAAACAGCCATTTTTTTCGAAGTCTGTCAAAAAAACCTCTATATTTCAAGGGCCGCAATGCATGTGAATAACGTCACAAAGCAATCCTTAAAGAGCCCCATGCGGTTCCGGAGCCGCGGGTTGCCAACCCCTGACCCACATCCTTCAATACAATGTGGATTATATATCTTATAAATGTGTTCACAGCTCAAGATACTGTACAGTGTCAATATTTATTTTTATTAGAGAAGAATAAGTCATAGGCAAAGAAAATAAGATCTTGATCCTGGACTTGAACAAGGGGCAGAGATTCGACAGCACGGATGGCAGGGGGAAGGGAGTTCCATACTATGGGAGCAACAGCCTGCAACATAGCAGTCTCTTGTCTGCTGCTAGAAATCAATGTTCCGAAAGGCTTTCTACTAGGCTACCAGATCAAATGTTATTTGAATATATTTTTTTTTCCCATATCCTTGCATTATTTCCTAAAATTTGGCAAATGTGCATTAAAAAAATGACACGAAAGCAAATGACCACAATGGAAAGAGCATTGCCTAGGACAGCACAGTCTGCCCATGGGGTGGTTCAAAAGGTCATGATGTGGTTATTAATGCTACAGCAGCAACTGGATTACCAGCTGCACACAATCATCGGGAAAGCAATTTCCCTGGGTACACAGAGGACAAAACAGCGAAATAACAGCACCTGAATTCAGTTCTGGACCCTTTCACTTTATCACTTGCGAGGTTGCTGTTGCCGTCGTTGCAGCATTGTTCAGATATTATGGGGAGTGGAAGAAGTGGAGAAACGGTGGTTGTTTTATTTGTTATATATAACGTAGAAAATGTCCGTGTTGGAGATTTGGAGGTTAGTGTGTTCTCTCTCGTGCTTTGTGCATGAAAATTAGGTGATCTACAGTTTTTTTATATTTCAAAGAGAATACCCTAAAATCCATAATAGAGCTTTTTTGGATGAGATCGCGTACATTTAAATGTGTCGTTGAACCCGCCACCACAATACACAGCCAATTAGTAAATTTTCTCACATAAATAAAAATGCCAATTCGTTACTAGTTCAGCACACCGGTGTGTTGGCGAAACGTCATACCCAAAAACCTCTAATGGATGATATTAGTCACAAAAGCCTATGTGTTAAACCTTCAAAAATATATAGCTCTTGTAAAAACACATAACTTATTGGCACATTGGTAAATTGCTTTACCAGCATGCCAAAGGAACGTCTTCAATAATTGTATATCACCTGCTTTTACACATGGTTCAGAAACATAAGACATTGACAATGAAAAATCGCACAAAGAAGCATGGTTGGTGCATCCTTGGAGTGGCACAGAAAAAGGAAAATTTGAAAAAGAGAACACGTGCATGTAGGACATTCTATTGACTGCTGAACAAAATAAGTGGGCTGAGGGAGGACATGTCACACGCCAATTGCATCCAAAGGACGAAACGCCCGAGAGGATGCCTATTGAGGAGATGGAACAATTAAATCTTAGTTTAACATGTAGTAGGCTTTCGCGAACAATATCATCCATAAGAGGTTTTTTTTTGGGTTAGAGTGCGTAAATATATAAATGTGTCATTAAACCTGCCACCACCCGACACAGCCAATTAGTAAGGAGGTTTGTCACGTAAACAGAACATGCCAATTCGTTACTAGTACAACACACCGGTGTGTTGGAGAGCAAAGCCACAACATTAACAATCTGAGTACGACGTTTTGCCAGTAATTACAACTAGCTTCATCAGGCGACAGCCAGACTTAAATCTCGTGTGCGCAATCTCGATGAAAGCCTCCCGTGCCGTTTTGGGTCATGGGGTTTGTTTTACCAGATTTCATCACGCCGTTCAGTGCATTTTTAGTGCAAGGGAGGCTCAGGATCAGTTCAGATATCACTCGCCACTGATGTTAGTCTCGGCTTGGAATGACATTCAGGTCGATGGGTTTAGTACAAAGCAGTCATAATAATGAACAATATTAATATTCACTGGGCCTAGTCACATCTCTATGAGCCTGCACTGACTAGCTGGGCAAAGTATGGTAAAAAAAAGGCCTCCCAAAACCCACACGACAGGGAGGCCCTTATCCAGCAATGAACAATTAACCCTGACTCACGCGGTGTAGAGGATGCCCTTATCCAGCAGTGGATTGACAAATCGTCTTTAAACATACGCTCTTCCGGCATACCCCAAATTCCAGCTTTACCACTTTTGGCTTCAGGAGGTTTTACTGTAACGACGACGAACACCTTAACAATCGCCGATATAAATTTGTGTAGAGGATGCCCTTATCCAGCAGTGGATTGACAAATCGTCTTTAAACATACACTCTTCCGGCATACCCCAAATTCCAGCTTTACCACTTTTGGCTTCAGGAGGTTTTACTGTAACGACGACGAACACCTTAACAATCGCCGATATAAATTTTGCAATCAACCTACCCAGGTACGCGCATCGCCCGATAAACCTGGACGACCCGCCACTCCCTCGCGCCCAGCAGCATCAACAGCACCACCCGTACCGCACGCTGGGCTGCGCATACAACCACCGCGCCTTCTATGCCAACTGCGGACCGACGCACGCCGTCGATGCCACCCACCTGGACCTGGCGGACGGCACGCGCTGGAAGGCGATGAGCCGGGATGCCGTCGCCTCCGTCACCACCGCCGGGCTGGCGACGTCGGCGCTGGCGCCGCCGCTCCGCCCGCCATCCATCGACCCCGCCGACGCCGCCAGACGGGTGGAGACGGAGCTGAGGCTGCTGGTGGAGGATCACAGGAAGGTGTGAGCCCCCTTTTGCGTGGAGGAAGTGTGGTCGTAAAAAAAAAGGAACAGGAGAGTGAATAGTGAAATGCGGAGGTGGGACTAGGGTTACGGTGAGGTTCATATGATAGGGATGGTGTTAGGGTCCGTTTGGTAAAGTTATTAGGTGTTCGGGGTAGGTTAATGCAACATTCTGATTGGCTAGTGTGTTTAAGGGAAATTGTCGTGCTACGGTCTAATTGGCTAGTTTATTATTATAGGGAAGGGCCCGGTGTGCTTCATAGCTAGACGGTGATGTTAGGGTGTGACTCGCGTTTCAAGGACAACGTTGGGGCCCGCCAGCGCACACTTGCTTCATCGCGTGGTCCGACCAGGAGAAAATATAGCGAAAGTAACCTTTTCTTATCGTACCACCCTTGTATGCGCACGGCGTTCGGCGAGCAGGACCTAGGCCTGCAGACGGCGTGGGACCCGGCGCTCGCGTACCTCCTCTCGCCAGCGCTCGCTGCCTACGAGTGCGAGCGGGCGGTCGGCGTCGCCCCGGGAAACGACGAGTTCCAGGATGCGGTGCGTCGGTTCGTGCCGGACGGGCACACCTTCAAGGGCTTCCCCATCCACCTGCTCTCCAGGAACGCTCGCCGCGCGCTTGCCACGGCGCTACGGTGAGTGCTGACGGGCGCACGGACGCGCGCAGAGACGCGCGCAGAGACGCGGTACAGATACGCATGCACGCACAAACATTTATAAAGATCCCCGGTATAGCTTACTGAGGCTGTTGGGGCAAGTGCTGTTAAGGGAGAGGACCTACGAAGGCCGGCACGGCGCACGGTGAAAGTGTGGCCAGCACCAGACCCAGCAGCCTTTTTCTCTCCAGTGCTGGTGTTTACGTGCCGTACCAGCTACTCGCTTAAAGTCGAGTCGACCTGGTGAAGGCAAAGGACTGGGTTCAGTTATTTTCCACTGCTCTTGACTATGATCAGGTCATTGGGTTAGAAGTGCAGTGCACTAACCAATACAAAGATCCCCTGCATCGCCTGAACAGACTGTTGGGGCAAATACTGTTAGCGAGCACCTTTTGAAGGCGGGAACGGTACACGAGGGAGTTGGTGGCCAGCACCACGCCCAGCCGCCTTTGTCTCTCCAGTGGCGATGTTTACACACCGCACCAGGTACTCATTTGAGGCTGAGTCGACCTAGCGGAGGCCCACAACTGGTTCAGATAATCGTCACTGGTGTTGGCCGTGAGCGGGAATCCAACTCGGGTCGCCAGGTTTGTAGCGCAGGACGCTAACCGCTACACTACTGCTCCCCACTAACCAATACACCACCGCTCCCACATACACACACACACGTGAATAGACGTGTACAAACACGCACACGTTACGCGATGTTGGTGTGCACGCACAGAGAACACGCAGACATGTACGTGCATACCCACCTACGTGCAAGTCTTGAAGACTGGTTGAGGTGTCACTCACTGATGTTAGCCGTGGCCTGGTATCAAATATGGATAACCAGCTTCAAGGTGCCGTGCGCCAACTACTGCCGTGCCTCTCCCCACGTACACACATACGCACAGCCACACACGGTGTTAATGACAATGGTGGAGTCTTTTTTTAAACACGTATGTGTTGGATAGCTATATATAACCACAAGACATGACCTTGAACTTAAAAAAAACATGTCATCAACACTGCCTTGTAACAGAAATGTACATCACAGCAGCACAGCATGTCAGGCAATGTGAGTGGTAAGCGTTTTCTTTTCGTGTCTCCCTTTGTGCGATACTCTTTCGCCAGCCTGATTGTAGATGGTTAAATCGCATAGTAGATTGTGTATTGAATTGTGTCCTGCTGCGTGCTGCAGTGGTTAGAATGGATGTTTCGTAATCACAGAGTCCGTTGCAAATCCGAGCAGGGGTCAAAATCGTCCCTCAAATCCTTTCAGCGTCAGTAGAATAAGTACCGCTTTGTGGGAAGTGGGGAGTGGTTGTTCTTGGGATTGACTTGTCTCCATCATAGCAATGTAGAATTTCCCTGCGAAAGATTTGACAATCGCGCACTTTCACACCAGGTTTGGTGGCTCGCAAAGAGATGCATTAAGGGGGCTGTAAGATGCCAACCTGCAAGGCAAGCAATCAAAACCTGGATCTCATCAGCGGAGTCAGGCTTCTTTAAACAAAATACACTGTCGAGGCCCCGATCCAACAGCGGCACGTTACTCCTGCGTACTGTAATTTCGCGTCGCCGCTCACCCCCGTACCCTCTGCCCCCCCAGCTCTCCGTTCTGCGATGAGATCGTGAGCTGCCGGGGAGACGAGGTGCGTCTGGCGGTGCGAACCCGCGTCTTCGTCTACCCGGAGAACGCCTGCGCCGTCTGGATCATGTTCGCCTGCACTTACCGCTCCGTGCTTTGACACTCGCACGGTGCGGGCGGGGTGGGGAGGTGCGGTGGGTGATGGGTGAGAGGGCGGAGTAGCGGAAGAGAGGGTTCATTGGTGGGCAATGGGTGAGAGGGTGGATGGGTGGGATGAGAGGGAGGATGGTATGCAGTAGATTATCGCAAGCAGTTGTTCAACCTTAGTTGGAAGAATGTCCAGATCACGTTTATATTTCGGTTCAGCTGCAACAGTCTTTTTTTTTGTCCCAAATGTAAAAGGTCAACACAATTTGCTTTTATTTTGTAGACAAGTTTCAGCCAATCCCAAGGATGTGATTTTTTTCTGACTTATCATTAAATGTGGTAAAGCTGTGATGCAGGGGTTATTGGACTCAATAAATCCCAGCCATGGCTGTCAGTGATAACCTCAACCGGTCCTGAGATCACCTTTTCACTAATGCTCGCTGGCTACCGTGGTGACGTAAAAAGTTTCTCGTTTGTTTTGTTTAGTTAGGTGGGAACTCAAAGAGACCAGGATAGCCTAATTTGTAATAGTGACTTAGTAAAAGCGAAACTAAAATAAATTACAGCCATGAAGTGAAAATACATTTAAAAAACAACGATCAAATGAGAAATCAAAAATATTTCAAACATAAAATCTATATTGCATCAAAGTTAAATATTAAATTCCCAGCAGTACAAATTGGCTCGGGCAGGATAATGGGAAGGAAAGAGGGGGGATAGAAACAGGAGATTTTACATATGGTAACAACTACAATTTATAATGTGCTGCAATGTTCAAGAACTTGAAGGTACAGAACCAGAGCACATAGTCCTTCACATGCCAGCCTGAACGGGCGTGCGCCTGAGCGGGCGTGCGCCTGAGCGGGCGTGAGCCTGAGCCGGTGTGTTCTTAGTTCCATTTATTTGGTATAGCCCTGTGAGCCATTCGGCTCTTGAATCGGGTGCAACCGCAACAAAAAAAACATGAACAAGAAAACATCTTAAAGTGACTGTGATGTGCAAACAGAAAATCCAGGAAAAAAAACATCAAAATATTCCTGAAATAGCACCGTACACCAGCGCTGTGTGCAAAAATGCCAGTGGGATGCAAGTCAAACAACAACAAGAAAACTTAGATTAAGGCCATCAGTCTAACTCCGTACTACAATAAACAAAAACATGGCCAAAACAAAAAACGTTTCGAAATCACCAAAATAAAGCCATAAATGCAATGTAACAGTGATCATAGGGACTGTGACCGAATTTTTTACAATAAACTACATAAATAACATGTAACACCAAACCCTAGAGCCATAGCAGGCTGCATGAGTCACTCCACAACAACAGGAGCATCATCGGAGTATCACATTTTTCAATGCACCTTTAAGATCAGCACACTAAATCCAAATACAGTTAATACTTTGCAGCGGTCATCCGGAGCGAAATATTTTATTTTATTTTAGGCCACTGAATAGCAGTGGCAGCTAGGGGTGTACAACTCCTCTAGAGCAGTTTTGAGTGAAGATCTCATAGGTAGTGATTCAAGTTGCAGTTTATTGGCAATAGCATTCCAGACCCTGAGGGCATCAATAGCAAAGGCCCTTCCTCCGGTTTTTGTACGGCAATAGGGAATGTGAAGCTGGTAAATGAGCGAAGACCTGAGGTCAAATTTGTTCTTTGAAACAGAGAGGAGATCCAGCAAGTAGTCTGCGGATTTTTTTGTAAGTACATCGTGAATAAATAAGATCTGGTGCACAAGCCGTCGAACATTAAGAGATGTTAAGTTTGACCCAATGTAGAGATCACAGTGGTGAGTCCTATATGGGCAGTTCAATGTAAATCTTAAGGCCGAGTAATAGATGGAATCAAGCTTCTTCAGTACATTACTTGGGGCTGATTTATACACGATGTCACAGTAATAAGTAGAGGAAGTATGGTTGCTTTTATCAATTCCAAACGGAAGATAGGGGGGAAGCAGTGCTTGTGTTGATACAGAAAACCAATTTTTATTGTTGTCTTTTTACCAATATAATCAATGTGATCTTCAAAATTCAGTTTTAAATCCAGGATGACCCCAAGATACTTATAGATTGACTTGCTTTATTTGATAATTATTTAAGGAATGTAATTGGGGAAAAATTACTTCCTGCTTTAGTCCCGGTGAGAAGCATAGCACCTTGGTTTTGGAGGTATTCAGGACTAGTTTAAGAGCAACTAGCTGATGTTGTAGTTTGTTGAAATCACCCTGGAGCTTAGCAATCACGTCATCCGGAGAGCGGCCAGCAGTAATCAGTATCGTGTCATCTGCAAAAAGATTTACCCTGGAATGATCCAGGCCAGTGCCCAAGTCATTGACATAAAGAGAGAACAAGAGGGGGCCGAGGATGGAACCCTGTGGAACTCCTTTTGTTATCTTAACACTGTTTGACCTCCAACCATCTGTGAATAGTTTGGGTGCGAGAAAAGAGGTAATATTTTAACCATTTTACTGTGTTTTCGGAAAAACCGAGGCAACTTAGTTTACTAAGCAGGGTGTTGTGGTCTACTGTATTAAAAGATTTGGGCAGGTCAAGAAAAAGACAGGCACAGTACTGCTTATTATCAAGGCTACTGTAAATTTGATTCAGAGAGTCTAATGCAGCAGATGTGGTGCTGTATTTTTTTCGGAACCCAGATTGTTTTAGATGTAGTAGATTGATGGTGGACAGGAAACTGCTAATTTGGTAGTTCAATAATTTTTCAAAAATTTTCATCAATGGGGACAAAATTGAGATAGGTCGGTAGTTATTGGGATCATCTTTAGGGCCCCCTTTGTGAAGTGGACGGACATAGGAATGTTTCCATGCTAGAGGAACTGATGCTTCTTTGATGGATAGGTTGAAAATATGGGCTATAGGTTTGTATATTAGGTGACCAAGAGTTAGTAGAGCAAAGACGGGAAAACTATCTGCTCTGGTAGAGGAGGACCCTTTGAGGTAGGACAGTTGTTTCAGAACATTACTTTCGTGGATTGGCTGGAAACTAAATTCGTTTAATGTTTGGACAGGGGTGTAGGAATTTGCATGAGCAGGGTTGACTCTCAATACATAAAAAAGATTACCAGCTTCAGAAAAATGAAGGTTAAAATTGTCAACTATTTTTTGGGGATCTGAAAAATATTCCCCGTTTCGGTTAAGCTCAACGGGCAGATTGTCTGTTTTGGATGGCTTTTCAATACATTTGATTGTTTTCCAAAAAATCCTGGCATTTCCATGTAATTCTAGGAGAGTGGAGGAAAAGTAGGCATTTTTTGCATGCCGTATTTTTTTGACGCATCTATTCCTTAAATTCCTGTATTCTAGCCAGTCATTTACCAAATTACTTTTCTGAGCACATGCCCAAGCCTTGTCCCTAGTTTTCATGAGCTTTGTAATCAAAGGATCATACCATGGTGGGCGGTTGCCTTTAGTTTTAATTCTATCCAACGGAGCATGTTTGTTAAGAATTTGGAGAAACGTGTACCTGAAAATCTCCCAAGCCGTAGTCAGGTTGGGGATATCACAGACCTTGTCAATATCCGAGTGAAGCACATCATTAGTAAATGCCTGAGTGCTGAAGTGCCTCAGTGCTTCTCAACAATTTTAGGGGGGGCTTTGGGTCTGGCTGATGATCTCACCCCAAAAATGGAGTGATCACTAAGGTTATTACCCAGAACACCAGTCAGTGCGAAATTGTGAGGGGCATTTGTCAATAGAACATCAAGCAGAGTTTACTGTCCCGGATTTTTTAGGTTGGGTCTTGTGGGGACATTTATTAATTGAAACAGGTTAAATTAATCTGTCAAATTTGTGGCCACGGCCGGCGGGTTTAGCCAATTCCAATTTAGATCACCCACTAAAACTATTTCACCTTTAGGGAGGCCCCCAAAAAGCTCTCTCAGTGCAGATGCAGCATCAACATCCTTCCCACTAGGCGGTCGATAGCAGCACACTACCAATATCTGTTGATTATTTGGGACAGTTATTTTGAGAGCCAGACCTTCAAAGCAACATTTTTTAAACAAGGAGTGAGCTAGTGAACATGCAATAGTATTACGAACATAGATGGCAATTCCACCTCCTTTAGATCCTCGGTCAAGCCGAAAAAGGTTGTAGTTGTCAATCGCAATCTGCAAGTCATTGACGGCAGGAGTGAGAAATGTTTCTGTTAGGCAAAAAATGTCCGGGTCAAAATTTGCCACTTCTAGTTTTAGTTGACTTAATTTAATCACAAGCCCTCTGATGTTGACATGTAGAACACCAACACCTTTCCTTCCAGAAAAATCTACAGAATTATACGAGTTCTTTTCATTTGGGCCAGGATGAAGCTCAATACCACCCAGAAATAAGAAAAGTAGAATTAATAGTTTGCACAAGTATTTTCTGTGAAAGGATGAAGAGTGGCGAACCTTGGACGAATAGCAGTAGCTCGCAGATGGTGTTATTTTTAAGAGCAGAATGAAGTTTGGAAGGAGTGCTGGTGAAGTAATGGGACAAAGATAGGGTTTAAAAGGATACAATGATGGAGTGTAGAAGTGTCTATGAGCTGTTTCATTAGCAGGTGTAGTGGCAAATCGAGCAACAAGTATGGACGCAAAGTAACGAGGGTAGCTGTTTGTAGAGTTCAGTGTGGCACTAGATATGGCCAGGAGGGACAGCAGTAGGATACACAGCAGGAGAATTGCCATCTCTAAAATATCCGGGGTAAACAGATTAACTCACAAGCAGAAAGAAAATATATATACTTGTAGGCCGAGCGCTAGAAAAACGTCTTGCCGCAGTCGTCACACATGCATGGCTTCTCGCCCATGTGCTAGGGTTGAACAGCGCCCCCCCCCCAGACAGAGACAGCAGATTTTTGGCTGTTGTGGGCTCGGCTGAACCGCTTGCACCACCTCCTTTCCCCGCCGCAGGATGGTGCTCGAGCTAGCCCTCCTTGAGCTCAGCCCACGACTGGAATGTCGTTTCTTGGCCTCTCGTGTCTCTGCTGCCCGACCAGACGGCCCCATTGAAGCCCACACAGGGGACTCTTCATTCACGACCCTTGGCCGTCTTGACGATCTCCTTGAAGTTTTCCAGGAACATAGCTTGGGGTCCGTCGCAATGTTGCCTTGGCAGGAACACAGCTTGGGGTCCGTGGCAATGTTGCGTTGGCAGGAACACAGTTTGGGGTCCGTGGCAATGCCGCCTTGGCAGGGACACAGCTTTTGGTCCGTCGTACTATTAATTAGGCCTGGGCCATGTCTTGAGGAAGATCTAATCAGGCTTTCGAGAGCTTCCTCTCGTGGCGGCATGAGCCGGCAGTTGCAGAACTGCACCTTTACCTCTGCAACATTTATGAACAGCTCGAACCACGATAACATGACAGGCAATTAATCCCCAAATTACATTTAACAAAATTACTTATAGATTAAGGGGTGACATATAATCTGCAATTTATGGATCTCGGTAAAAATTGTTACGTTATTAAACACCTTCTATGAGTAAACAAATTAAAAGTTTATACATTTAGGTCTACTAATCTGGTACTAGGCGAAGCCTGCGGCAAGATAATTGATCCTCAATTTAGTTTTTAAAATACTTATAGATTAAGAGGTGACTGATAATTTCCCATCGAAGGACCTCTGTAAAATGGTTAAGTTATTAAATACCTTAGATGGGGAACTAAATTAAAGTTTAATCTTTAGGCCTGAGGCCTACTAACCTGTTATTAGACGAAGCCAGCGGCGTGAGAATTAATCCTCAAATTAGTAAAAAATGCACTAACAGATATAGGGGTGACTGAAGATCTGCCACCTAACGATCTCTGCAATTGTTACGTTTTTAAACACCTTAGTTGGGTAACCAAATTAAAGTTTTAACCGTTAGGCATAATGCTTGAGGCCTACTAACCTGTTTCTAGGCAAAGCCTGAATCCTAATTACGTTTAATTTACTTATAGATTAAGAATGTTCCATAAGAACATTTATTAATTACCAGAGTGTTGATTATGAGTGATGGTGTTGGGGATGAA